AAAATACTAAATTTAAAAAATAAATAAATAATCGGTTCTCCATAAACGTCATCCGTAACATACCATGACCGTCAATCATCCCGTGTATAGAACCACTTTCTTTATATTTTTTTAACATAATAGAGCGAAGGAAAAAAAACAAATAGATATTCATGCACCTTAAAATTACATTTGTAGTTTGGCAAAGTGGGAAATAAACTAGCCTAATAACTATATCAGTAAATCTTCAAAATAGAGCTAAAGTTCGCTTGGGAAGAAAGTTTCAAGATGTCTCTCTCTAAACCTTCCCGAACTTAAAATGGCAATAATTTTATTAGAACAACCATAGGCGTAACACAAACAGGAATATGATAAGTACCTGGATTTTGGTCTATGAAAAGAATTTCAACAATGCGGACACAATATTGGAGTATGATCAATTTACTACAAAACACAATTAACTAAACAGCAATATATTTTATAGATCGTTACCTATACAGGGTGTTCCAGAAATAAGTGCAAGTATTTTAAGGGGTGGTAGATCTCGATAACAGAAACAATTTTCTCTTTATGGAGTAAAATAACTCTTAACGGAGTTGTTTTACTCTGAAAATTTCCAAAGAAAATTATTTTTTGCTAAAATTTTAAGAACCACTGGATCTTTTCTGGATTTTCTGTCTTGTAAATTTAATCTACTACCTATGTTGCCATATTATCAAGAAATTATTTTTTTAAATAAAAACTAAAAAAAATTTCAAAAAATTCCGGATTTTCAAATTTTTTTTGGCGAAAAAAACCTCATAGGCGTGTTTCTGGGGTTGAACTATACTACCAGTTAAAGTACTTGCACTTATTTCTTGGACACCTTGTATACAGGGTGGCATATTCTACAGATAAAAATAAGTAAAAAAGTTCGTATAAATGTATGTTCTAAAATGCTTAGTTTCGGAGATACAGGGTGTAGAAATTTCATTTTTATTTCGATTTTCCAAATAATTTCTGAAGTAACGTCAATATTTGGATGGAAATTGGTGTGTGGGAGTTTTTTGACATGAAAAATTTTTTTGAGATTTTGATGTCACTCCTATTTATAGGGGGCGCCACCAACTGTTTTGAAGAGCGATAACTTTTCGTCCGTACCTGTAGAAAACTACTAAGTAAAAAAATATACATTTACGACGTTTTTTTTACGTAAAAAATCTCTCTTGGAAAAAATCGTTATGAGTAATGGATGTCAAGATATTTGAAATCAAAATTATCAATACCTATCATCATTGACATAAATTAAACATGTTGACTAAATAGTTGTTAGATTGAAATCATAAATTTGCAAAGTTTTTTTGCCAAAAGTTCAACAGAAACTGTTTTATTATCATTTCTTCGAAGAAAAAATAAAAAAATTACCATTTCAATCAAATAACTATCTACTCAATATGTTTATTTTTTGTCAATAATGACATGTATTGACTATTTCCATTATAAATATCATGCGAACGGTTGCTCGTAGCGATTTTTACCAAGAGACATTTTTTACGTATAAAATCACGGAAATGTATATTTTTTCACTCAGTAGTTTTATACAGGTACGGACGAAAAGTTATTACTTTTCAAAACAATTAAAATACATGTAGGTGATGCCCCCTACAAATACGAGTCATATTGACATCAAAATCAAATTTCTCATAACAAAAAACTCCCAGACACCAATTTTCATCCAAATATTGACATTACTTCCGAAATTATTTGGAAAAAATAGAAATAAAAATGGAAATTCTACACTTTGTTTCGCCGAAACTGAGCATTTTAGGACGTACATCTATCCAAACATTTTTATTTTTTTTTATCTGCAGAATATACTACCGAAGTTTCCGGAATACAGTTCGGACCACCCTGTATAATAAAATATCCTAGAGATTAAAAAAACTATTACCGGATTTCATTTCAAATCGAACCAGATTATCCTTTTTCTATCCGACGCCACTGCGTCATAAAGTTTCCGTATTTGTACGAGTCCCAGGGGCGTCGTCGGGGGGCCCTTATTAATCCCCCGACTAATTTAAGAGTTGGAGGGTCGTAAAGAAAGAGGCAACGGGCCGCGAAGGGCCGGCCGACGCCGGCAGACGCCATTTAAACTTTTAACTGCTTACCTGTCGCCTGTTTTGTACTACTTCACACGGCGACAGATTTATATACGGTCTCATTTGTTTCTTGGGTATCTAGTCGAAAATCGCACTTGTTCTTAGAGAACTTTTCGGGAATTTTCGCGATGTATACTACAGATAGAATTTTTATCCAGGTCCTTTACAGGGCGTTTCAAAAAACATGTGTCATCTCTCGAGTGGAGATTCCTCATGTAGTTTGTAGCTCCTTTGTTGCGTAGCTACAGGGAGTTAAAGTCTTTTTTTCGATTTATTATAATTTGCTTCTTTTTAAGTACTTTTAGTGATTCGAATGAGATTTTGAAGGTAAAAGTTATTATAATTGTTACATATTTTAGTCTAAAAAAGTGTTGACAGATTCACCAGGGACGTGTATATTATCATTGAAATATGTTTTCTAAAAAAACATGTGCGCCACTGACTTGCTTTTCTCCTGTTAGCAAAATTGTATAGGTCAAAGAAAAAGAGAGTTGATTTCAGTTTCCTTGATGAGATGAACGTGATTTTATTAATTTGCCTTAATCCAAAACTAGTAGCAACCTTTAATTTTCTTTTAATGTCATTAAGTGGCAAAAGTTTTAAATAAGTACTCATTAATTCCTCATAAAAAATATGTATATATAGCAAAAAAAAACTTCCTATAAACATGGGCGCGGGGTGTTAAAGTTACAGGATGTTAGAACTTTAAAAAATAAAGTATTTTGTGATTATCTTAAATACCATTATTTTTGTCTTCAATTTGCTGTAAGTAGCACCGAACAGCAATGTTATAAATTGTAATAAAATAGATTAAAAAATAATTTACTAATTTTATTTTAATTTTAATTTTATTGATTGTGATTAATGAAATTGCGTTTATCGTCATCAAGGAGATGGAAATCAACACTTTTAATCGGAAATTAAATAGTAATAATATGGAAATAAATAAATGGAAACACAACTTTTAATCGGCATTAAACGGCCTATACCATTTTGCTAACAAGAGAAAAGAAAGTCAGTAGCGCACATGTTTTTTTAGAAAAATATTTCAGTAATAACCCATATGCACGTTCCTGATGAATCTGTCGACAGTACTAAAAGAGTAGTACTAAAACATGTATAACGCTTATAGTAACTTTTACCCTCAAATTTTCATTCGTGTCGCTAAAATCACATGGAAGAAAATTATAAATGACTACCGGGTACCAGCGACTTCGTTCGCGTCGAATTAATCATTTGTAATGGTGATGATAAATCAAAGCAAGAATTTCCACATACAAACTGGATAAAATTTTCTCACATTTATGTCAGCATGAGAAAAAAACATTATGGCGATATTATTATATAACTTGGTAATATTTGAAGGGTAGTTTCATCTCGTTGGAATGTGACTTTCGAAAAATCCGTTTGCTAAAAATAAGCTTTTTACGTCAAGCAGTTTAAGCAGAATCGTGGTTAAGAAATAATCAAATTTTTTGGAACACCCTGTATGATTTTTTAAAAAATTTCAAAATATGTAAAAAAAAACAAATAAATTATGCTTGTCCAAGCGTTTTCCCGAAAGACTAACCGTTTTTTAAATAACAAATATTGTAATATTTGAGGGGCGTTTTCGCCCTCTTGGAATTTGAGATTCGAGAAACCCCTCCTTATCGAACCTCTACACCCCACAGTCAATCCGTTTGCCAAAAATCAGCTTTAAATGTCAAGCAGTTTAAGCAGAATCGGGATTACTCAATGGTCATATTTTTTGAAACACCCTGTATAAATTTATAAAAAATCTTAAAGTATGTAAAACAACCAAATAAAATATACGTGTTTAAGAGTTTTTCCGAAAAACTCACCGGTTTTTAAATAAAAAATATTTTAATATTTGAGGGATAGTTTCACCCCCTTAGAATTCGAGTTTCGAAAAATCCCTTCTTATCGAACCTCTATACCCTAAAGTCAATCAAATCAGCTTTTTACGTCAAGCGCTTTGAGCAGGATCGTGATTAATCGATGACCAGATTTTTCGAAACACCCTGTATACATTTTAAAAAATCTTAAAACGTAAAAAAAAACAAAATAAAATATACGTGTTTAAGCGTTTTTTCGGAAACTTGACCGTTTTTTAAATAAAAATATTGTAATATTTGAGGGGTGGTTTCACCCTCTTGGAATTGGAATTTCGAAAAATCCCTTGTTATCGAACCTCTATACCCTAGAATCAACCTGTGTGCCAAAATTGAGCTTCTTACGTTGAGTGGTTTGAGCAGGATCGTGATTAATCAGTATGTCAGTCACTTAAGGATTTTATATATTAGTATAGATTATAATAAATCGAAAAAATAAATGAAGATTTTAACCCCCCGTAGCGAAACAAAGCAGAATCGGACCTATGTTGACATAAAAAATAAATCTTATTTTTACATGATGAATCTTCCCACGAGAGATGGCACATGTTTTTTGAAACAATAATACCAATCAAAATAGAAAATCCAGACCAATCAAAGTGTATTTTTCCACAGTAATAATCTCGTTTAGAGTAAATTTAATTTAAATATAGTACTTGTTTCGAAAATTACCGTCACAATATTTTAAAATCAGAAAATATAAAAACAAGAAAATGATTTTTTTTTATTTGTTATTATTTCCTTGTTTTTATATTTATTTATTTTTTATATTTAAGAATAATTCTGACCTTTTTTAATGATAGGTGATTAAGTTACTCTTGTGTTTAGAAAACGATTCAAAGAGAAAAAATAAACCAAAAAGTCACAAAAACGATTATCAAACCAAATTTGTTGAAAAAATTGCAGAAAATTTAACCGATATCTGACGAAACTTGTAATTACTTTTTTAACAACCATTGTATCTATAATGGTGCATGTTTGTACTAACCTGGCGATGCCTCATCCAGAACCGGACTCCTAGGCCTTTTTAGAGCTTTCCTGCTGCCTCCATCCGCTTTGGCAGATTTGGGCTCTAAAAATTGCCCGAACGGACTAGTCGCGTCCTGAATGTGCACGCTCGGCGTCGGACTAGACCAATTCGGACTGGTCGTCGCCACGTTGCCGAACTTCCGCCGGAACTTCACCTTCTGATTGGGCGTGAGGTAATCCTTGGTGACGACAGGCAGTTCCAGCAGAGGCGTAGTAGGCTGAAAATTAGTTTCAAAAACACTTTAAACAAAGAAAAACTATATAAGTAATACATAAGGTTAGTAAAAAATATATGCATCCACCAATAGTGCTACGGAAGCGCAACATTAATATACTCTGTTTTTTTTCTCAGGTAAGATTTCGACAGACGATGACAGAAGAAAAGCAGATGACGTCCCATACCAATCTATTTATTTTACTAAAAAAAGTTTCTAATTATTTTTAAGTTATCTATGGATGGGTTTAAATATAAATCCGTCATGCGTCGTGTCTTGTTGTTTTTAACCAGTTTTATTGGTTTATTTAAAAAATGACAGATCGTATTTCAATTTTATTGGTTTGACGGAACGATGAACGACAAACGGACGCCGATGCGTATGAACTCGCCTTTAGATTTTTGTCATTTTTGACGCTTGTCAAAGTCTTGCCAAATTCTAGGTTATAATTTTGTGTCAACTTTTGTTAAATACCCTGCGTTTTGGAATATGATGCATTTTGATTCGTATTATTACGTGTGTTTTGTGTCTTTTGAAGTCAAGTGGAGGAAAAATCGAGTGAAAATTAACTGTAGACCCAGAGCACAGTTTATGGTTAATACTCGCTGCCAGGGCAGAAAGTCTTATACACCAATGAAGTTGCTATCGATAAAGTTTGTATACCATTTCGTCGTAGATAAGTGCATCTTGTATATGGTAGAAGGATCAAACTAAACACATACTAAAAACTGGAGTAGCTGTAAAATATCGATATCACACGATAGGTAAATAATGGATTTTAGTACTGCAGAAAAATAATGTCAAAAGGTACTGGTTTAAAAAAATTAAGATTAAAGTTAATTAATCAACCTTTAAGGTATAAAATTTGGTAGGTGTTATTATTAATAAAATAGTTTGTTTTATTTACCTATGTTGTTTTATTTATTCCTGTGGATTATTACAAATTTGTATTTGTACATAAGTTATATTGATAAATATAATCATAAATGCGGGTAGTTTCATAAAGCTTAAAGTAAATAATAGTTCTTTTTATATTTTTTGGTATGTAGTGTCTTGTTCTTGTTTGTTTTGTATTAACACATACCGTTTTTATTAAATAAAATAACTCGATTACATTTTTTCAGTTTTATACAGTTTTTTTCACAATATTTTGAAGTAATGACTTGTCATCTTGTCAATCAAATTTTAAATATTTCCTGCTATGCGTTCCAGTTGTACCAACTTATTTCTTTGTAAAATAAAATAAACTACTTTGAAATTAAAATGACAGACACATTTATCACTGTCAAGGATCTTCTCGTTGGACAGACTATAATGCTATAAACAAGGGTAGATAGGGACATCCAAATCTACCAATCAACTACAATATCATCGAAAAAAAGGGCGTCAGCGATAACTATGAAATAAAGATCGCTGTCATTTTATATGTAACATTATAAGGAGGATGTCATAGATGTTCCTTCCTGTGCCATTTTTTTTCGATCATACGGTATTATATGTATTAATTAGGGTTTCAGGATCCGGAACTGTTTTTCGGAACCGGCCTTTTCTCGCTACTTTCGGTATATTAGATATTTTTTCAGCAAGTATAGCTATATTTCAGCAAAATCAGAAAGCAAGACTTGAAGAAGTAAAATCAAGTAAATATTTTGAGTAAAAAATTGAGTTACATCAAATTTTATTAAGTAAACAACACAAACACGAACGCAAGCGAAGAAAAAACATAGATAACTAAGTTCACAACACACAGCATAAACTTCGATTATTCTTTAAAAAAAATTCCTGTTAAAAAAAATTTACTGTATAATAGTGCCTTCTTCAAAATTCGGTCTACCATAATTTGCCTTGTTTCGTATGTACAAAATTAGTCAAAACTAATGTTGTATTTTTCCCCAATATTTTAAATAGAGCACCCTGTATTTTGCCAAATTGTATTTTGCCATAATCGAACAAGATTTTGTTTAATCTTCTTGTTTTATTAAGCACTTCCTAAACCTAAAATCGTTATTTAATGGGAAAATTGTGTTTTTTGAAAATATAAGACATGATCTCTGACTTACGATCTTTCAATAAATGGTGTCTTGATGGCGTCGTTAAAAGTGTCATACCTATTATTTAAAAACTTTTAATTAACTCAAGAATCAATTTTTAACGTGACAAATTAATAAATATGATTTATTGTATTGGATCAGTTGAAAATACTTTTTAGCAAGAAGAATTTGATAGTACGGGCAATGTAGATTATACAAAAAATAAAAATGTTTGATGTATAAAAAAACAGAATAAGCTGAATGTTTTTATTATTATTAGAAAAAGAAAATAATAATGCTTCCTCTACAACCTCAAGACATATAGGCTCAAACGGACGTTTCTAATAGCAGCGTTAATAGAGTTATAACAACACATAAATATCATGCTTGCTTCATCCACGTTACCGTAGATGGAGCTAAGAAGGCTTAGGTAGGGTATATATAATAAATAAACAAAATACGAGTAGCGGAAAAAGGGGCCAAAAACATAAATATCATCTTTATCAATTGGAACTACATCAAAATCTAAATCACTTTATCAATTTCGCAATGCATATTATGCTTAATACAGTTGGAGATTGAGGCATTTAACTGAAATCTTATATTTCCCGACGAAGCTACTTTTAAAAGTAATTGATTATATTAAATAGACGTAATATTCAAACTTATGCGACAGATAGCCCACACCGACAGTAGATAGGTATGACACTAAATAACAAACACCTTCAATTGAATGAGCGAAAGTCACATCTTGTCGTATATTTTCAAAAAAAAAACACAACTTTCTCATTAAATATCGATTTTACGTATAGGAAGTACTAAATAAAACAAAAAGATTAAAAAAACCTTGTTCTATTATGATACAAAATGCAGGGTGTTCCATTTTATTCTGTAAACTTTGTCCTCGGTTGGTGTCCACCACATGAATATGCATGCACTGCCCACACAGACATGCTGGTGATGTATCACCTACAAGCCAGCGTCATTTCCCGTCCACTATAATCAATTACTTGCGTAAATAAACATGTAACTTTATGTACATATCAACATTTATGAAAATATGGCATCAGCAGATATGCAACAGTCCGATGACATCGCTGACAGCCTTTTATTTAATTACAATATTATTTGAACTTCTTTCATTAATCATATTAACCATCAGATATTTTAAAGTATATTTTTATTTATATTTACCAACATCATGTTTTAAAACATATCTTTGTATCATAATGCTGTAGTTTACGATACACAAATTGTTGTTAAAATTAAGATGATATCAAACGTTTTTCCCTATTTTAATTTTTCTATTAGAAATATTGTAATTCTAATCAGAATCATCTCATGGTGAGTAGTTTCAGTAGATTTAAAGAGCAAATATAACTTAAAAACATGATATAAATCGGTGACAAAACTGCGAACCAAAAAATGAGAATCCAAAATCAACAACGAGACCGTTGAGGCGTATATTTTGTATGTGAAAAATATTAACTTTTTTTTCAGAAATTTTCAGCACTTTACAAAAGTTGTTTTGACGCTTCAAGGAATAGGAAATTTAGAGTCCCATATAAAATAAAACTTCGACTAAAGTTCAAGTTCCACAATCGACTCAACAAAAAAATATGAAGTTCAATGACATGTTAAATTTTGTAATATGTAATATATTCTTGTGCCTGTTCCTCTTGATATTCATTAAATATTTTTGTTTTGTAGTTTAAATTTCGTAGTTAGTAGTTTTTTTTTCCACAACAAGGGGCCGTCCTCTGCCGGAAACACTGCGACCTGTAAGGCCTATTGTGTTTGTCCCCTTTCTATATCTGCACCCATTCTCCTATCCCTGTGCCCTGCACTAACTTATGCTTTTTTTTTATGGCGGATTCATCTTTCCAAAAAAATCCTTTATGGGTATTTCGCCACTGCACTGCAAGAAAATCTACAAAATAAAATAATTATTTTTTGTAAACACTTCTGCGTTAAACCTAAACAGACGCTGCTTGTCAGAAGTTATGTTTACAGTAATACATATAAATTTGCCTAATTATTTTATTTTGTAGATTTTCTTGCAGTGCAGTGACGAAATACCTATAAAGGATTTTTTTGGAAAGATGAATCCGCCACATAGGTATAGACATTTTTTATAGTTCTTCCTGTTCAAGCCTAGCTTTCCCAAATAAAAAGTGTCGCTTGCGATCCAGAGCCTCGCAGTGACATATTATGTGCTCCGCTGTTTCAGGATCTTTATCACAGAGTCTGCAGCAAAGACTTCCTTGATACAGGTTGAGCTTGTTCAGGTAACACTTGACAGCCATGTGTCCTGTCAGGAGGCCTGTTGTATTCCGCACTTTATTCCTGCTAAGCTTTAGCAGTTCTTTTGCGGTTTTAGAGCTAGGTCTTTGAATAAAAGCCTTGGTGTGTTTATGCCCCTGTCTGTTTCTCCAGTGGACATTCTGCTTTTCCCTGTTCCTTCGAGCCAGAGCTCCCAGTTCACCTATAGGCATTCCCAGGCGAGTCTCGACGATACCTTTGTGCTCATAAGTGCCCCAAGTGCCGCCTGACTGTCTGAGCATATATTAATGAGCTTACCTGAATAAGCCCTTCTATTGTTTTCTCTCGCACATTGTAGAATGGCGAAGATTTCTGTCTGGAATACGGTTGAGTGTTTACCCAAGGAAAAGGATAAACTTACCCTTGGTCTTTCCCAAATACTCCAGCTCCTGTTCCTTCAGCGGTCTTTGACCCGTCTGTATACCAGGTTAGTCCATCCTGAAGGAATGTTATATCTGTCCACATTCCTCGATCCATTTTCTTCACCTCGAATGGTTTGTGGTAGTGATAAAGAGGGGTCATTTGCAGGGGCGGCTTGTCCTATGAGGCAGATGAGGCAGTGCCTCACCAATACATTTGAAAAATTACACGTATTAATCGATACATCTTTAATCACAAAATTATATGTTTTCCCTATTTGCATCAATAATAATTATTGTATTTTTTAACCGTCATTCTACAATAAATTACGTCGATGGTATTCCTTTAAACGCGCTTTCTTTCCCATATGCAACAAACTCGACGATGTATATCCATCTCATTTGTTCTTTACGAAGTATATGTGCAGAGGTTTGCCTCTCGCCTTTCCTTGTCTAGCGTATTGTGGTATATCGCACTGACGGAGCGACAGCGTTTACTGTAATCTTAACTATATAGAATGAAAAGAAAAAGCATAGGCAAAACCTTTAGTTGAAGAGAGATAAAATGTATGGAGTAGTAGCGCATAAAAAGACCGTATTGAGGCGAGCCTCAAATGTAAATTTGAACCTTAAAAGCTGTTCGTTAAAAATATGTATCACTTCCCGATCAGCCCGAGAGATTTTAGGCGACAGGCTAAAAATGCAGAATGGCATTATTTGAGAATTTGGCTTAGTTTGAATCAGAGTTTGAATTAATTCTGCTGGTTATTACACTGTTTTGACTACGTTTTTTAATGTGAATTGCATGTTTAATTAGGTACTCTTTTTACTGATTATTGTACATATTAAGTAAATACCTAAAAAGTGGGCAGTGACTTATTGTTGATTGATATGATGATTTAGAGGGACCATGCATTATCAAAGGACTTCCCCAGGTAAAGTTTTTCGAATCATTTCTAGATAAATTGTGTATAGTCAAAAAGTAAAGCGACCTGTTACAGATTTCGTTTTGTTTTATTTTTATAGGATGGGTAGAAAAACAAAATTTTACCATACAGAGTAAAATATAAGAGAAAATATCCTGAGGTCGCTTTGATAAAAATTTGCTGTTGCAATAGCCCTATGTAATAGGTACCGTATGATCGAGAAAAAACGGCGTCAGCGTTGGCTATGAAATGAAGATCGCTGTCATTTTATATGTAAATTTATATGTATTACATACCTCGCTATATTATACGTACTAACGTACTTAAACAATAATATATTAGTAAGTTAAATTCACTCCAGGTGTTTACCACTTTTTAAAAGATGAAATTTTTCAAATATGAATTATCATGGAAATCCCGCATATATAGTGCTTCAAATAAATCAATAGTGTGATGTATGCTGAATTTTATGCTGAACCCAATTCTGTACAGAAAAATGGCAATGCGATTGCAATTTTAAAGAAAATATTTTTTTAGGATATGTACTTTTTTTATATAGAACTTCTACGTACTAATGGCCACGCTATATACATACTAATAAAAATTCTCTTCTAATGTGCCTCACCATCTTCCAGTGCTACGAGCCCCTGGTCATTTGGCTGGATCTCATTTGGAGTAAAGGTCCCCCAATAGAATCTCCCATCTTTGGGTGTCCTGTTTCTGTCCTATTTCCCAGAGACAAGACACTTTGTTGTCGATAGAGTCCCATTATTGCCTCCGCCTGGATCACTAAGTGAAGAGGCGGAAGGTCCAGAAGCACCTCCATTGATGCAGTGGGCGTTGGTTTCATCGCCCCTGTTATACTCAGACAAGTAAATCTTTGCACCTTGCTGAGGCTGAGCATTGTTGTTTGTTGCATTACCTTAGGCCACCATACCAAGGATGCATGTTACTGAAAGCCTCACCACTCCAGTGTACAGCCAGTGCACCATCTGTGGTCTGAGGCCCCAGATTTTTCCATGAAGTCGTCAGACTACCGCTAGTGTAGTCACCGCCCTCCTTGTGACATTTAAATGTAAATGTAATCTAAATGTCGGTTCCAGGTCAGTTTGGTATCAAGCGTGATTCCTAGTACTTGACCTCCCCCGACAGAGGAATCTCATCATCGCAGAGTCTTAGAGGGCCTAGTCCCTCAAGTATTCTGCGCTTGGTGAAGAGGATTATTACGGTCTTTGTAGGACTAATATTTAGTCCCTCCCGTGTCACCCATGATTCCACAATCTTCAAGGCCCTTTGCATTCGCTCCCTTACTGTTGTGTTAAACTTACCTCTGACTAACACGACAAAATCGTCTGCATATCCCAGAGTGTTGAAACCAGCCCTGTTGAGACTATTAAGCAGTCCGTCCATAACGAGATTCCACAGCAGAGGGGAGAGAACTCCCCCCTGCGAGCATCCTCCCGCCACCCGGACTGCAAGTCTCATTTAGTAGGGTGGTATATGCCACTCGACTTTTGAGCATACAGTCTATCCACCTGCAGCAGGTCTCCTCTAATCCGAGGTTCCTTGTAGCTCTCGTCAGTGACTGAAACGAGGTGTTATCAACGCCCTATGTCGAGGAATGCCCCTAAAAGCACTTCTCTTGTTTCGAACGTCGACTCCACTTTGCTTACTAGCTGATGGAGTGCCTATTCGGTTGATCGTCCTGCTGTGTAGGCATTCTGGTCTTCGTGAAATGGTCTTTTTCCCATTATTTCATCCCTAACATTAGTCTCTAAATAGCCTTTAGTACAAACGACATAAGACTGATGGGCCTAAAAGCCTTCGCCGTAGAATAGATAGTAGTTAACCCAGAAGTATATTATTTATTATTAAATTATAGATCAAATTAAAAGGGACACCCGAAGTGATATAATGCATCAAAGGGATATTTTGAAAAGACACTATTATACAGTACTTCCTGTAAAAAAATTAAATCCTTTGAATTTAGAATGTTAAGAGAGCTTAAATAAGCAGTAAATTTAGTTTAAAAACGGTTATATTTCAAAAACCACTCGGTATAGTATATGACTTTATGGTATTTTTGGAAATGGTATATATGGAATATGGTATTATATAGTATATTTTCAAAATGTGCGTTACCATTGCCCCCGTATTATGTAAAAAAATGTAATGACAGATTTAAATAAGAGAAATATAGTTGATGATGAATTGGAGAGATTGAGCTACAAACACCGAAAATTCTCGTGTTTCCAGAAAAATTGCAAGTTGGCGTTTCCAAGGTTCGAGAAAGAACTTCTAAGGGTACAAACATAGTGGGGTATCTCTATGGGACACTGTTTTAAAACGGAGAGTAAGTGCCCGTAGGATGCATCGAGATGCCTCACACTATCTAGGTACCCTTAGGGTATACCGATCTGGTCATCGAAACAGCGTAGTCTGGATTTTAACGTGTAGGACAGTGATGTAGGCAGTTTAAATGAAAAATCAAATGTATTAAAAAGAGATAAGCCCCGTTGTAATATTTCTTCTATGCGGTATTGCCGGATTTTACATCAAAATTTCAAACCGCATAAGTAGGTCATTACGAAAAATGTTGCATCTGGGGCTGGAACTTTATTTATTTTTCACAATTAGTTACTCATTTTAGTACAGCTTTAATAGACTCTTAAACAACTCTCTAACAGAAACGAGCATTACTGAATAGCTTAGATATATTATCTTCGTTCATTATTTTATTTCTCGTACGAACCGGCAACACTGTATGCCGCTTTTTATTTTGTCTCTCTGTCTGTCAACTGGTTGTATATATTTATCTCTGTCGTATGCATTAAGGTACAGACCACGGAAATAAATTGATCAGGGCTAGTTTACAAGGTAATAAGTTGATAACCCGTGAAGGCGGAGAAAATCAGACAGAAGTAGGCAAAATCGATGTTTAGTTATTATTGTGTTACTATTGGTTAGTGTAGTGGTTAGCATAATAAATAAATTAAGTTATTTTATAGTATCTTTAAATTAAGGACCCACGGAATCCTTAATAATTCTAACTTAATTAGTAAAATACTGACTTGATCTTCAGATTTTAACAGTTTCAACCCAGGAGCCTGATTTAGCTTCAAAGAGTGTCCCCTTTTCTTTTTATTTGACAGCAAAAAATAAGTAGCTGTATTATAATCAAATTTCCATTTGGACAATTCATTCCACATCATTTTCTCATCAATATCTATAAATTTTGCCATAATCTGAAAAAAATATTATTACTCTGATCACCTGAGAATATTAGCTAAAATCAAAACAATTAGAAATTTTCGGTTTATATATTTGATATTAAAATAATTTAAAAAATGAAATGATGCTTAAAGAATTGACACGTACAAGATGAAAATAAATCAATTGCTTTTGATATTTTCTTCTAGTGATTTGGTAATAGAGTAAAGCTTAAAAAAATCATTACTTACTTGCACACAATCACTGTCATACATAGATGAACTTCTTGCTTGATACTGGACTGGTTCTAATATGCCTAATGTGATCCAATGATGATCTAAAAGCTCTGTCACTTTTATACGTTTACTTGGTTCAACCTGAAGCATTGATCTTATAAGACTCAGGCTGTCTTTTGAAATAAATGACGGTTCTTCATACTTCCCATTCTATAAGTAAACAATAGCATAATAATATAATACGATAGAATCGAAAAACAAAACGGCGTTACAGTGGGCTTCGAAATAATTACTAATGATAATTATTTCTGTTAAGATACAACTCGGAACCCTATACGGGATGTTATTTAAGTATGTAGCCAAACTTCAATAGTTTATTCTAGGAGAGACTTTAAGAAAAATTATTTAATATTGCATGATAGCTGTGTACAGGGTGGTCAGAATTGTATTCCGGAAACTTCGGCAGCATATTCTGCAGATAAAAATAAGTATAAAAGTTCATATAAATGTATGTCCTAAAATAATTAGTTTCGGAGATACAGGGTGTAAAAATTTCATTTTTATTTCGATTTTTTCCAAATAATTAGTAACGTCAATACCTAGATGAAAATTGGTGTTTGGGAGTTTTTTGACATGAGAAATTTGATTTTGATGTCGATATGACTCCTATTTGTAGAGGGCGCAACCTGTGTTTTAAGAGTTTTAAAGAGTAATAACTGTTCGACCGTGCCCGTATAAAATATATAAGTGAAAAAATATACTGAGTGAAAAAAAATGTCTCTTGGTAAAAATAGCTACGAGCAACCGTTTACATGGTTTAAGAATGGAAATAGTCAATTCAAGTCATTATTGACAAAAAATAAATATATGTTGAATAGATATTTATTTGATTGAAACGATAAATTTGGAAACTTCATTTTTTTAAATTAATCATAAATTTTTCTTCGAAAAAAAATGATGAATGAAAAATCCAATGAAAAATGATGAACTTTTGGCACAAAAACATTTCAAATTTATTATTTCAGTCTAATAACTATTTAGTCAACATGTTTAATTTATGTCAATGATGACAGGTATTGATAATTTACCTTCCAAATATCTCGAGAACCATTACTCGTAGCGATTTTTACACGATACCTTTCTTATGTAAAAAACGTCGTAAATGTGTATTTTTACTCAGTAGTTTTATACGGGTACGGACGAAAAGTTAATTATCTTTCAAACCAGTTAATAAATATTAGGTGGCGCCTCCTACAAGTAGGAGTCATATTGACAACAAAATCAAATTTCTCAGGTCAAAAAACTCCCAGACACCAATTTTCATCCAAATATTGACGTTACTTCAGAAATTATTTGGAAAAATCGAAATAAAAATTAAAGTTTCTACACCCTGTATCTCCGAAACTAAGCATTTTAGGACATACATTTATATAAATTTTTATACTTATTTTTATCTGCAGAATATGCTGCCGAAGTTTCCGGAATACAGTTTGGACCACCCTGTATACATGCGGTGTGTCGACAAATGTGTCGTTTTCTAAAAAAACATGTGCGCCACTTACTTTTTTTCTGTTAGCAAAACTATGTAGGACTATACCGATTAAAAGTTGTCTCTTGATATTTTGTCGATTTCGGTCTCCTTGATGAGATAAACGCGATTTTATTAATTTGCCATAATACAATATACATATGTATGTCTAATAGCAACCTTTAACATTTTTTAAGGTCATTAACTGACCAAAGTGTTAAATAAGTACTTACTGATCCAAAAATCCAAAAATATAAAAAAGATAATATAAAGGATTAAAAAAGATAAGATAAAAAGATTTTGATAAAAAAAATCTTCCCAAAAAAATCTTCTGATGCATTAATAATCTGTATTTAAACAATGCTTATTTTTAAAATTTGACACCCCGTATGTATATTGGAAGTATTTTTGGACCATGTTTATACCATATAAACTTTCCGTCTTAAAATCGGACTTTGAATATCACTTATTAAAAATTGGCATAAGCATTTGTTAAAATTAAAATTTAAGTAGTAAACAATCAATTTTTTTTTTTAATCTGTGTATGATTTTTTATTTTAAAGTAAACACATTTACAAAAATTATGGTCGATATTAATAATTTCATTTCAATTTTTTCAGTCATTATGTGTACTTCACCAAAATGTCAAGAAATAAAAAATCAAAATAATCATAAAACGTTTTATTATAAAATCTCTTAATCTGGTTCATCTATGCAAGGTTTCTTGATAAATTCAATCAACAAACAATATTCAACGCTAAAACCATATCTACATTTAATTAAACTCCATTTAAGACCAAGATTATAATAAACTCTTTTATTTTCTGCTTCTAGAACAGACATAACATTTTTCCTTGTTTTTCTATTTAATAGCAATGAAGGAGACAATAATAGACCTGCCGTGCAACAACAAAACAAACATCCAATAGCCCAGAACCAAAAGTTCATATAAATCTGATGCCTTAATAATGTATTTATTTTGTTTATCGTATACCTATATAAGAAAAACTAAAGTAATATAAATATAACTTTAATGTAAGACCTAACAAAATTACCGATATTCTTCAGGAGCCACTTTTGAAACCAATTTTCTTGGCATTTTATAAATAAAATGATTATGTACCCCATACAAAATAATATTTCCATCACCCCTTACTAGTATCTCACCTTCTTGACACATAATACTTCTTTATGACAGAATAATTCTTTGACACCCAGCAACTTACCAATATCTTCCTATACAAATTATCTATATTTAAATCATCGAAAGGTAAACTTCCAGCTAATAATGCGTAAAGTAAGACTCCCATAGCCCAAACATCCACTTCCTGTCCCAAATATTGTTGTCCGAGAATAAGTTCTGGTGCAGCATACGTAGGTGATCCACAAGATGTATATAATGGACTTTCAATACCTCCCTGTGGTTTGGCACATAATCCAAAATCAATTAATTTTAAATTTTGACTTTTATCTAACAACACATTCTCCTAAAAATAATTGTATGAAAAATATACAATATCTTGAGTTATTATATATACTTACCGGTTTTAGATCCCTATGTGCATATCCAAGACTATGTAAATAAGCTACAGCACTTACAATTTGTCTAAAGAACATTCGACTTTCTCCCTCAGTAAGTCTATTTTTTTCAACTATATGATCAAATAATTCTCCTCCCGAACAATATTCCATTATAATAAAAAAATGAGTTTCAGTCTCAATTATCTAAGTAATTAAATATGGAATTTTTAGATTTTTAAAAAACTTCGTACTATCATGTTTCCTTACCTGATGCAATTGACATATATTTTCATGCGAAAAGCTCTTTAGAGCTTCTAGCTCCAATTTAACTCTCCTTAAGTCCTCTCCTAACATCTGTTTGTCCATTATTTTTATTGCTACTTTCTCTCCCGTAGCTAAATGTGTTGCTAATTTTACTTTTGCGAAACCGCCACATCCTATAGTTTTTTCCAAATCGTAAAGACCTTTTAATGCATTATACCTAACCATATTTAGTATCTAAATATTATACTATTTATCATAGTACTTATCACTTTTTTAATATAATAATATTAATAATTCGATGAAGGCCTAAAACAAAAAAAAATAAGGAACAAAAACTTTTATTTACATTCACAGACATTCACTTAACCTTATTTTTTCAACGACCATTTTGTGTTTTGAAATTTTGAAAACACAAAATCTGACCTTTAATATCGATAGAGAAAAATTTGAGCAAAAACATATAGTTTTGCTACTCAACAACAGATGACAGAAAGAAATTTACCTTCTATATGACAACTGACATATGACATATGACATTTTTATTATGTCATATGTCATTTTTAAAAATGGCTTGTCAATAAAATAAAATGAAAATGTATTGTTATTGTTTAGTTTTTTAACTTATTTAGTTTAGAATTATTAATGTATTTGATAAATTAGATTTTCTATAATTTAATAAAAGAAAATCTTAAACATGAATTTGGAATTACTCGGTAAGTGATAGGTAGTTATTTAATTTCTAGTTCTTCATTTTTTCTTTTATTTTAGAATCCTTTGGGCAGAATTATCCTGAGGTAAGTTGATTTATTTTACAAAACTAAGATATTCTTTATTAATAATTCCACCCTATTCACAACACTTTTTGTCAGGAATTTGATGGAACATTAGATTCTTTATCTATAGCTGTTACATGTGCCTTTAATAAGAGGGGCACACTACTAGCAGTGGGCTGTAATGATGGAAGAATAGTTATTTGGGATTTTCTCACAAGAGGAATCGCCAAAATTGTATCGGGTTAGTGATATGCTATTTAATACCAACAAAATGTTAATTTTTAATTATTTTAGCTCACGTACATCCTGTTTGTAGTATAAGTTGGTCTCGCAATGGACATAAACTAGCATCAGCTTCTACAGACAATACTGTTTGTATTTGGGACGTTTTGACTGGAGAATGTGAACAAAAATACAGGTTTCCTTGTCCAGTTTTGAAGGTTCAATTTGAACCACGTAACTTAGGGAGATTATTGGTTTGTCCAATGAAACATGCAGCAGTTTTGGTTGATACAAATGGGGGCCACCAGGTATTGCCTGTAGATGAGGATGTAAGAACAGTACAATTTTCTAAATAGTGCAAAGAAATATTTAGTACTTTTAGGGAGATTTAAATATTGTAGCTTCGTTTGATAGAAGAGGTGATTATGTATATACAGGAAATGCAAAAGGAAAAGTTCTAGTTATGGACGCAAAAACATTAGATATAAAAGCTAGTTTTAGAATTGTGTTAGGTACTTCTAGTGCTACGGCAGTTAAAAGTATTGAATTTGCAAGAAGAGGAGAGTAAGTAGTATTAAATTAGCTAAAATAAATTAAAACCCTGTTTGCTTTTTTAGAAATTTTTTAATAAACACAGCTGACAGAGTTATTAGGGTATATGACAGTAAAGAAGTATTAACTTATGGAAAAGATGGTGAACCTGAACCAATTCAAAAACTACAAGACTTGGTTAACAAGTATGTAAATGCAAACTAATAGAATATTGAAATCACTTAGATTAATTTTTAGGACCATGTGGAAAAAATGTTGTTTTTCTGGTGATGGTGAATATATTTGTGCTGGGTCAGCCAGGCAACATGCCATCTATATTTGGGAAAAATCAATAGGAAATTTGGTAAAAATTCTACATGGTACAAAAGGTGAACTTCTTGTTGACTTAGCTTGGCATCCTGTAAGACCTATCATAGCAAGTATATCATCAGGTAAGTTTGATTATTCGTTATTGCAAGTTCTGAGTTTTTATCAATAAGAGTTTAATAATCTTGTTCTCTTGTTTGTAATTTTGGCAAAACATGAATTACCAAATCTTTGGTATATACAGGGTGTTTCAAAAAACATGTGCCATCTCTCGTGGGGAGATTACTCACGTAAAAATAAAATTTATTTTTCATATCAACATAGGTCCAATTCTGCTTTGTTTCGTAGCTACAGGGTGTTAAAGTCTTAATAATCTTTCTATTTATTATAATTTTCTTCCAAGTACTTTTAGTGATTCGAATGAAATTTTGAGGTTAAAAGTTACTTTAAGTGCTACATATATTTTAATGCTAAAAGTGTTGATAAATTCATCAGGGACGTGCATATGGGTTATCACTCGAATATTTTTCAAAAAAATACATGTGCGCCACTGATTTTTTTCTTTTGATATGAAAATTGTGTAGGCCGTCTAATGCCAATTAAAAGTTATCTCTTGATATTTTGTCGAATTCGGCCTCTTTGATGAGATAAAAGCAATTTTATTAATCACAATCAATAAAATTAAAATAAAAATAAAATTAATAAATTATCTACATATTATTACTATTAGTTATTATTAGTATTAGTCCAACCTACAGTAATTTAAAATAAAAAAATAATGGCATTTAAGATAATTACAAAAAACCAACTTTCAAAAAGTTTTAACATCCTGTAACTCTAAAGCCGGGTCTCCACCAAAGCAACATTTGTCGCCGATTAGTGTTGTCGACAGTGTTGCTGAAAATTCAGTAAAGTCGTCGACATTTTATGTCGCAGATTTAAGTCGCCGACTTTGTTTCATGTTTCTCTTGAGGAGCGGTACATTAAAGAAAAATCGTGTGGACGACAATGTTTACATAAACATGTCGAAAGACGTCTCCACCGAATCAACTCCTATCAGTAACTTTATCGGGTATATTTTGGCCAGAAGTTTGTTTTTGATTCTGTTGCTAAAAATAAATTTGGTATGTAGTGGAGCAATGATAAAACAAGAAATCTGATTGAAAAATATCAAGCCCACCCTGAACTTTGACACTAAGCATACTTGGTATGCTTAGTTACTATATAAACTACTTCTTATTTCATTGTGGAGCGGATTTAAGTCATCTGTACAAAGATCAGTGAGCAAGTCACTACCACCAAAGTTTACATTTTATTCTGTAAACTTTGCTACCACTATATAAATTTCTCTTCCGGAGGCTAGGATGTATCCAAAAACGACGTTGCCGTCTGGCTTGACGACGCTCATTTCGCGAAATAATAAGGAATGCGGCTGAGATTATAATTACATCCTCGTCGTTACACATGTTGATAAACACTACATAAACTTTCACTCTTTAGTCGAAAAATGAAGTCTAGCAACAATATTTCTTTGGTAGGTACGATTTTCATTTCTCGGCAATATTTTTGAAAATAGTAAGAAAAGTTGATGACAATGTCGTCGACATATATGTTGCTTTGATGGAGACCCGGCTTAAAACTATGCATTTCCATACCCATGTTTATAGGAACTTTTTTTCATATTTTTTGATGAGAAATAAATGAGTACTTATTTAAAACTTCTGCAAGATAATGATATTAATTTTTTTTTAAAGTTGCTATTAGACTTGGATCAAGGCAAATTAATAAAAATGCGTTTATCTCATAAAGGAGGCTAAAATCGACAAAATATCAAGAGAGAGCTTAAATTTTATTATATTAAACTGCTTACACAATTTCGCTAACAAAAGAAAAAAATCAGTGGCGTACATTTTTTTTTGAAAACTATTCCAGTGATAACCTATATGCACGTCCTTGGAGAATATGTTGACACTTTTTTAGCTTTAAAATATGTCCCATTTATAGTAACTCTTACCCTCAACATTTCATTCGAAACGCTAGAAGTGCTTGGAAGAAAATTATAATAAATCGAAAGATTATTAAGAGTTTAACACCCTGTAGCTACGAAAACAAGCAGAATCGGACCTATGTTGATATGAAAAATAAATCTTATTTTTACGTGAGGAATCTCCCCACGAGAGATGGCACATGTTTTTTGAAACACCCTGTATAGAGAAATCAAAAAAAGTTGGCATGCACGTCATCTCTAAAAACTTACCAAATTGACTTTCTAATAAAAATTTATTTAAAACAGAGGGCACTTTTTCCTTTTTCTTATAATCTTATATCCCGTTTAAAAAAGACAACACGCTGTCGCATCATGTCAGCTATGCTTAAGTTTTGTGGCTTTTATTGAAATCACATAGATCTTTGACCCTGTTTCAGCTGGCTCAATATCAGTTTACGGACTGTCATAGATAATTGAGGTAATTAATAGAATATCACAAAAAGGGAATCAAATTAAAATTTTACATTTTCAGGTTTCATTCAGAAAACTTTGCTAATACATATATTCATTTAACTAGAATTTGTTTTTGTAATAATAGACAAAGTTATAATGTAGACATAAAAAAAATGCAAAAGTATTGTGTCTAAAATTGAAGTAAATTACAAATTTTATTTACCACTTGTCAAAAGTCAAAGCATAGTCAAAGTAAAAAAAGCCGCTGTAGTGACTAGGGTTTCCAATTTTCGAGATCGGGATTCTTAATAGAAGATTATTTTCTTTTATCTATGATCGGAATCCTGTTTTGAAATCCTGGGATAAGAATATACATATATAATCTTGGGATCCCAGGATTGACTATCAGAATGAGAAATTGAAATATGAATGTTGCATTGTTTCTAGCTGCATTTTTATTAAGTATTTCTTTATATTATAAAGAAATTAATATAATGTAGCTACAAGAATAAAAATGCAGTTCTTGTTGCAAAAAATATAGCAAACATGGAAATATAACTTTTAGATATTGAAGTTTTGCTTAATAAAAATAAAATATGGTCTTTGAGAGACTAAAGTGTATAAAGTTGAATCATTTTAGACTGGGCATTTAAATTTTTCTAGATATTAGGGATTCCGGGATTTGATATCGGGTTTTCGGGGATAACCATACACCGTTAGAAACCCTAGTAGCAACATTACAACATGCATATTTTGATGAAGTCAACTTTTATTGATTTATATTATTATTTAGTATGTTTTTGTAAAATTTAATACTATAGTAAACGCCACGAATGTTTGGGAGTGATTCATTGCTCGATGAAGTTAGAATCGACACGCGCGCTATCATTTTTACATTAAAAACGTAAATTTTTACCGCAGAGTCTCTGCCGCAGACGCAGGTTTTTAAAGGCCCGGTCTAATCATCTGCCTGCGCTCCTCCTACTTATTCTAAAATGTCAGTGTTATTGACAAAGGCGATACTGTATCGCGTTTCTTTGATTGATTCGTTTTTGTGCGTCAGTCCATTGGTGTGCTTGCAGTGCGACCAATGGGGCATTCCAGTTTATATTTATAACCAAATATATGTTTTGACAAGACTTTGACAGTTTGCTGGAATCCTTTTTTAAGTAATTTGTTACTAATAAATATTTTTGTAATATTCATCAATAAAAATAAATTTAAAATTTCATGCACAAAAACATAAACAACAGATTATATATTGATTATTATACGACTTGAAACACCACGGCACTGGAATTAAGTTTTATGTGACCTTGAACAGATTAGTTCACATTGTAGCGACCAATGACTAAAGAATTCAAGGCCAAATAACACCCGAGACCAAATTGTTACCATGGCACCAAACAGTGCCGTGGCCATATTTTTTCTTAACTTAGCTAGTTGAAGGGATATTTATATTTTTGATAAATGTTTTGACTACGCCTATGGTGTAGGTGGTGGCATCATACTAATTAATTACGAAAAAAACGTATTAAAATGTTAACAAAAGGTACAAAACTAGTATAGACGTATAGCACACATCAAGTACATATAATATCAGAAAAATAATTATCGAATTCAATAAGAAAACTTTAGAAAACGCTAAAAAGGTGGAGCGGACTGTTTATTTACATATGAAACGTAACTCCTGGCTCTTTCTTGTCACTGCTGCTTTTACATTTGAAAGCTGAACAACTAATCAACATTGTAATAAAGTTTATACAAAGTTCACTACACACAAACTATTAAAAATTGCTAAAATTGTTGTTGGTGACCAGCTGATGACTCATTGTTTGCCACCGAAAGAAAAGGCGTCTAAGGTCACAAATTCTGCTGCAGCACGTATAGGGGCGTTACATGTCCTTATATTTCTTATTTTTACATGTCATTGGTAGCGACCGATGAATCACTCCCAAACATTCGTGGCGCGTTTACTATACCATTCATATTGTAAAAGGTGAAAATTGGTCAACCTATAAAATCCTATTTCTCTAGGTGTTGTGAGTGTATGGGCACAAAATCAAGTAGAAAATTGGTCAGCATTTGCGCCAGATTTCAAAGAACTGGATGAAAATGTTGAATATGAAGAGAGAGAAAGTGAATTTGATTTAACCGATGAAGATAAATCAGTTGCCAGTGGCGGAGATGACAAGGAAGACACGGATTTAGAGGTTTCATTCTATTTTTCAAAAATTATATTAATATATAAAGTGAATTTATCTTAGGTTGATGTTTGTGGAATTGAAAAAGTAACGGCTTTCTGTAGTAGCGACGAGGAAGATGAAAATACGGATTGTCTTCAGTTCCTTCCAATATCTCCAGAAGTATGTATTTTTTTCATCTTGATATAATTTGATTAAAAATACTCTATTAAATTTTAGGTGGAAGACCCTGAGGATAATTGGACACCCACTGACACAAATACAGTCCCTGTAAATCAAAATACTGGTCCACCACCGGCAAAGAAGAAAAAATACAAATCTTATGACATTGCCTTAGAAAATATCGCCGATGGAGGTAATTTCACTAAATAATTATAATAGTAATTTTACTTTTTTTTAAGTAGTACAGGATCTTTAGTTATTTACATAATAAATCTATATTTTTACACTAGTAGTTAGATGTATTAATAAGTGGCTACCAAGTTAGATGTTTTTGTAAAAACACAATTTAGAACATTTTTATAATTGACTAATTTGTTAGTCATTTATGGTATTTTATTTTGAAATGACAGTTTTTATCTACGGTTACTGTTAAGTAGTAGGTTTATCGAATCTAGATTAAGTATAGATTTTTTTATTAAGTTTTGTTTGCGAAATAAACTTTTGTCTGTTATTTTATAGAATTCTTTTTGCCTGTCTTTTTTCTTTCATGTTTTGTTTGTCGTGGATTAGTGTCATGTGAAGAAATGTGGCCTGATTTGTAGGTGGGGGTGTCATTTACAGTGGAAGAAGTAAAAAATGGGGAAACGAAATGCAGTAACATTATGCAGGGTGTGTAAAAGTTTGTAACATATGGGAGTTTTTTATTGAGTTATCGAAAAAAAGTTTATTTTATAATTAAAAAAGTATTTTGGCGTTAGACAGCGACAACTGTCATGGCAGCAAATAGAGTCTGTCCAACTAGAGTATCATGAATGACAGTCAGACAACGTGCGCGTTCAGAGAACAGCAGCTGACTGAGCGCTGAGTAGTTTGCTCAGCGGCTGACCGTTTTTGTGTGTAAAAATAGATCGTTTAGGGAAGTCGCTTACTCAGCCACTGAACGCGTACAGTCTGCCATTTTAATTCATAGTTAAATTGTGTTTTGTGTAATTTTTTGCTTGTCGTCTGTCGAATCTTGTAAAAAGTAGGGTTAATGTAAAATTATGTTTTGAACCATATACATACATATAAAAGAATATACCGCCGCCTTCCTACAATAAGCAATGAATGGATTTATGTTCTAGTATTGAAGGAGAGAAAATCGATTTTGTACGGTTTGGGAACATAAGTTCGTTCTTGTTTAGGAGGTGAAATATACGCTTACGTCGAAATGTTATTTTCCTATTAATTGAATGTATTGAGGTCGGTTATCCATTGAATTTTTGTTTGTTATCTCCTCTATATATCTGGTTTTATTTGAACGTCTTTAACCTCAATTTCATACATGTAATTTGGAAATGACAACCCTTCTAATGACAAGATAGACTTAAGCCCCGTTCTTAGAACTTCGTATTGTCGCCAGCGACACGTCAAATGAACCAATGCGATTTGTACAAAGTTCAAACAGCTGTCAATTTTAAATTTAGTTCAGCTCTCATTGGTTGTTTGAAGTGTGAAACGGTGTCGCCAGCAACACGTCAAAAGATCCAATGAGCTTTGTACAAAATTCAAACAGCTGTCAATTTTAAATTTAGTACAGCTCTATTGGTTCTTTGAAGTGTCAACCAGTGTCGCCAGTGATGGAACAATGGAAAATATTTTTTAACATTTATTTCGATCCTTTATACTTCAATATTGGGACAAGAATTCGTGCGGTGCCTACAGTATATTTTTTTATAGGAATATGTTTTGAATAATTTTTCGATATTTTGTCATGGTCTAACCCAACTTTTTGCATATTTAAAAAAGGATATTTTTGTAAAATGCCTCCATGACAGTCATCACAACTAAGTGATTTTTTGTGAAATGATATACTTAATTGATTTCAGATCAACTTTTTTCCCAAAAATTCGATAATTTTTTCCCGCTTGTTATGAACTTTCTGGGACACACTGTATAACTCAGGGTTTGATTTATTTTGCATATTTAACGTGCTTTAAAATGGAAAACATTTTATGATTTTAAATATTTTTTGGCAGTTCTAGTTGAAAAAGTCTTAAATAAATACATGGCATATCCTAAGCATTTAAAAATAAATGATATTAATATTAAAATCTGATCAAAATTTAAATTAAGAGTATATAAAATATACTAGTGTTATAAAAATAACTTTTACAACTTATAAGAATTCAAAATGTGTTAGTAGCTATATTTAACGTGAACTATAGTAGCATTTTATTTGGATTATCTATCTTTGTCCATTTGTAACGGATTTTAAAACAAAAATCAACGCCTTGCTGACCATAAGAAATGTAAGTATGCCATATTATTGATTTTTTTATGTCTCATCATATTTATTTTTCTTTCGATTCAAAAAAATATAAAACAATCTAAAATAGTTCATAAAAATGTTTTATTGAAATTCATTAACAAATCATCTCATTATTTACCATATCCATTTAGTAATAATTAACAATAATTATTATGACTGATCACTATATCAAACACTAAAGTTACATATATTTCATCAATGTCGGTATTTTTTGTTTCATTTTTTACTGTAGTCTGTCCAGTGAGCCGATCCCTAACAGTGACAGTTGTGTCTGTCATTTTAATTCTCAGGTAAATTGTATTTTCTGTCAGTTTTTGGGTATTGCCTGTCGAAATTTTCCCTAACTTGTTGGACAGACTTTACCTTATTAGTTATTAAACTTTTTTCATATCAAATTCTATAAGAATAAATTTCTGTCGATTGTCTACCGACAGGATTCGTGGCAATGACATTGATGACGTGAGCACAACTTTATTTAGCATTTACTATATGCGTCACTAATTTTATACAGGGTGGTCCGAACTGTATTCCGGAAACTTCAGCAGCATATTCTGCAAATAAAAATACTAAGTAAAAAAGTTCTTATTAATGTATGTCCTAAAATGCTTAGTTTTGGGGATAAGGGTGTAGAATTTTTATTTTTATTTCGATTTTTTCCAAATAATTTCTGAAGTAACACCAATATTTGGATGAAAATTGGTGTCTGGGAGTTTTTTGACATGATAAATTTGATTTTGATGTCAATATGGTGTTGTCACCTACAGGTGTTTTATCTGTTTTGAGGAGTAATATCTTTTCGTCCGTACCTGTATAAAAATACTGAGAAAAAATATACATTTCCGTGATTTTTTACGTAAAAAATGTCTCTTGGGAAAAATCGCTACGAGTAGCCGTTCTCAAGATATTTAGAATGGAAATAGCCAATACATGTCATTACTGACAAAAAATAAGCATATTGAGTAGATATTTGTTGAAATAATAAATTTGGGGAATTTGTATTTTTTTAAATTAATCATAAATTTTTCTGCGCATAAATTATGATAAAACAGTTTCTGTTGATCTTTTGGTACAAAAACATTTCAGATTTGTGATTTCAGACTAATAACTATTTAGTAAACATGTTTAATTTATGTCAATGATGACAGGTATTGATAATTTCGATTCCAAATATCTCGAGATCCATTACTAGTAGCGATTTTTACCAAGAGATCTTTTTTACGTAAAAAACGTCGTAAATGTATATTTTTTTACTCAATAGTTTTATACAGGTACGTGCGAAAAGTTATTAGTCTTCAAACCAGGTAAAAATATGTAGGAGGCTCCCTATAAAAGGAGTCATATTGACATCAAAATCGGATTTGTCATGTCAAAAAACTCCCACACACCAATTTTTATCGAAATATTGACGCTACTTCATAAATTATTTGGAAAAAATCGAAATAAAAATGAAACTTCTACACCCTGTATCTTCGAAACTAAGCATTTTAGGACATAAATCTATACAAACTTTTTTACATATTTTTATCTGCAGAATATGCTGCCGAAGTTTCTGGAATACAGTTCGGACCACCCTGTATAACATTATACATAAGTACCACGTAAATAAGCAAACGTTAAATTTTAAAAATATATTCTTATTTCTTGTTCAATATATAGAGTAGCCCGCAAAAATGTTCCAAAAAGCTCCATATCAGGTTTTTTATTTCATATTTCGACTGTTTTGATTCAAATATCTTTCTGCACTTAAGTTGAACTTGTTTAAATAAACTGCTGTATATATTCTTCGATCAGCGGACTTGTCTTAACATTTCCAGTCCAAACCATACGCATACCTTTAATTAAATAAATAAAACAAAGTCGGGTTTGTTACACCATTTATAAACCAAGAACGGCTGAACCGATTTTATAATCTGTTTTGTTCAATTTTTAACTGAATTCACAACAGAATACATATTAAAATAGAAGAAAAATTCACAGAAAAATATATACAAAAAAAAATATTTTTAAGTAAATGAGGTTTGGAACTCCCCATGTTCCGCAATTGACAGCTTACGTCACCCACCCTATAGCTTATTTGTAATAATTGATGTTCAGTGCAAATCACTGACATACTAGACATTATAGAACTTGAATACAAAATCTGATGTTTTTTGGGTCATCCTGTATTCCTGTATTTGGATATTAGAAAAAATCGTTGCGTCACTGTAATCTGTAGCTTGAGGTTACTGATATAAATTGTAGGTCGTTAAATTAATCGTGACATAATTTTTCTATAGCATCTTGTTTATTAAAAGTAAATTAGAAACATACATAAATTAAAAGATGTTATAGAAAGTTATTAAGTAACACGCCAAATAATTTAAATCAATACAAAGCTTTATCTATATATGGGAATTTATTTTGTGCGAACAATTATATTACTTTTTAAAAATCAAGCAACCATTTCTTGCACCAGAGCCTTTAGAATTTGCACTTGCACGATCGCTAGCATCTATGAATAATTTTATGCTCAGGTACTTTTGCAATATCTATCAACACCTGGCGTACCTCGCTTTAGTGTCACAGAGTTTAAGTCTGTCCAACGAGACACCACAGAGACAGTTCTCTGTCATTTTAATTCAGATAAATTTAATTTTCTGTCATCTTTTGGATGTCGTCTGTCAAAATCTTCTCTAACTTGTTGGACAGACTTTACTTAACCATACAGAAGCGACACAGACAATTTTTTCATTGACCAAATTATTAGTGCGTTTTTTGTCATATTTTTTGGGGTATAATTTTATATATATTTCATTAGTTTATAATTGTCAGGGACGAACGTTTAAAAACCGTAATGTAAAAAACTAGTTTTAAGTGTAAAAGCATTTTATGAAAAGCAAATAATCTTTTACGAATTAGTAAAGCTCTTTTAAAAACTGTTTCATGTCAATAACTGTTATAAAAATTTCATTTATATTCTACTACGTCTGTTTTTTGATTGGTATTATTTTTTATATATTCTGATTGGGTTTCCAAACCGGCATCAGGAAATCCCGGGATCCCGATGTATCTTTAATCCCGAAATAACGATATTAAATCCCGGGATCCTGAAAATCTCAAAAAATTTAAATACCCAATCGAAAATGATTCAGCTTTATACACTTTAGTCTTTTAAAGATAATATTTTATTTATATTAAGCAGAACGTCAATATCTAAAAGTTATATTTCCACGTTTGGTATATTTTTTTTTCAACAAGAATTTATTATTCACCTAAATGTTACTTTGTATCGTCTATTTTAATAAAGCTCTTTTCTCATTTTCTTTTTGATATACATAGCTCCATTTTTATTAAATATTTCTTTAGATTAAATTTCTCGTTCTGATACTTAACACCGGGATTATAGGTCCTTATCGCGGGATTTCAAAACGGAATCCCGATTCCGAAAATTGGAAACCCTAATTCTGATATAATTGAAAGTACAGGTTGAGAAATGTCATTTCCTTACACTATCTATTTTTCTACATTTTGTGCCTGTATTTTACTTCAAAATGTGAAGACTCGACTTAAATGTCATTCATGGTTAATATTTCCTATTTTATCCCTTGTAGTTAAGTTATAATTTTGTTTAGTAAATGCTAAGGTCTTCTCTAATTTTTTTAAAATACCTAGATCAAATGACGCGCTTCTGACTGTCGCTTCTGTATAGCCACTGTATTCTGTGGTATGTTAAAATATTTAACCTATTTTTTTACAGAAGTTCATCCATTAATAAGCAATAAATCTAAGGATAAACAAATGGGAGGCGTTAAGAAGGGAGTAGGAAGGCCTAGAAAATGAATATCATTCCAAATTTTTAAACCTATAAAGTGTGATTGTGTCTATTCTCGTCTATTATGAACTTTTAATAATAAATTTATCTTTATATCAACAATATATTTTGTCTACTATTTTACAACATTTTTCATTTACATTATAAAAAAATGATAACAAAAACATTACTGGAAAAAACGCCCGTATTTCTAGAAATAATCACATTTAGAAATGGCACTTATATATAATAAAATGCATAGTGCCCAGTATGATGTTTTCCTTGTTTATTTCTCTTTGTGGAAACAAAAATGGAAAGTATAAAAGATATTTCCTGTACGCAAAAAAAAACAACTTTTAAAATCGAAAAAAAATATTAGTTGCTTTTAAAATAACAATTTTAATAGCAGTCCAAAAAAGACATGTCTAAGTTAATTCTTTTAGTAATAATTTTTGTAGTGTCGCTGCTATTTATATCACTCAAACTCTTTAGTTTTAACCTATTAACACACCCACTCCAAGTCTAAAATTGTTTTTCTGATGATTCATTAGTCCACTAATGGCTAAAGTAAAAGGTAAAGGGCTTAATTTTTTTTCTATAACAGCACCAACTGACCAATTTGAATCTATATGGCCTAAAAAAATAAATAATTAGTAATAACTCAGAAAGAATCCTTTAAATTTACCTTTAAAAACTACTTCACTTTTTGGCAGGTCCACTTGATAACCAATTGATGCAACTGATTCTTGAACTCTATTATTCGCTTCTAATTCAACTCCGATTTGTAATTGTTTGCTAGCCTTCTGATAATAACATAAATGCACACCTGATACACCTAATGTCCCTGAGACCTGATAATTTTCAGTTGCATATCTTCAAATCAAACAATTATTTTCAAAATTTATATATAATTTCACATTTTCACCTTCCTGCTACACTTAACAGAGCAATTTCACCTCCTGGTACACCAGGGCCTTTTTGGTATGCCAGTTCTGTCCCTAAAGCCAATCGTGACGTGACAGCTTGCAAATAATGTAAAACTACAACTCCTGAACTATTAATTACATCAGGATTGGCAACAGTCATACTTGCAGTATAATCACTGCCTCGATAATTTAATGTCAGTTGACCCACTTGAAATTTTGAATTTTGTACCTAAAAATTAAATTTTAACTTTTATTTTTATATGTGGATATTATCATTTACTTGTGCACCAAATTTTGCTTGTAACTTTGGTTGAATTTGGTGAATGATTGTAGCGTTCAAATTTCCAGTAGGGTCAATGTCTCCTAACAAAATAGGATAGGCTTCGTTCTGTGAAAGTTGTTTTGTTCCTACATATGTGGCTCCAAATCGGTACCCACTAGGAGTGACGGAACTCATATTAACTGTATGAGATATTTGAAAATGATTGCTTAAGCCCCTTGTAAGCATAATTCTGGCGCCTTCGAAACACGTAGGGAACACATCTAGAAAGTAATTCATTCAAATTTGGTAGCGATTCCTAAGGATTATATTCAGGTATAGGTTATGTATGATAAATCAATTTACTTTTGCACTTTGTATGTATGTCTTCTAATGGACCTGGATTTTCTACATTAGCTTCTTCTGTAACTTTTGTTTCTGCTTCTTTAGATTTTGTATAGACTCCTGGAGGTGGCGGAGGAGGTGCTGAATAAGCTTGAACATTGCCCATTTTATTATACTTAATAAGTTAATACAACACTAGAGCTCTGAAACGATTAAATACACTAACGAGCCCTTTTGCTTTCTGTGATTTTGTCCAAATTAGGGAAACATTACAAAAGCAAAACGCGTTTTTCTTTTATAAAATCCACATTTTCTAAAAATTTCCTAAAATCACTGACATATGTCAACGGGCAGCCACCTACTTGATCGATTAAACATTTTTTTCAATTTTTACAGTTAACTGTAACTAAGATGTCCACAGATTATAAGTCATTTATCTAGAGTTTCCAGTTTTTTAGCGAAGACTTTCATAACTTTCATTGCTAGGTGTCGCCTAAAAATGTTTATCTCTTCCACGAATTTGAGATATGAAAGATGCAATTTTTTGTATATTTAATTCTAACAAAGTTAATTATATCAGGCAGTAACGATATGGTATCGATATTGATAAATTAAAAGTTATTCCGTGCAGATTCCATGTATCATTGGCGATAAAATTATTTTATAGGGCGGTACGGTAAGTGTATTTTTTTGTTTTATTTTAAACTTATTTTAACAACTATTTTTCTTGTTATTACCTACCACTACGTACTTCTCAATTAAGTCTCTGATTCTGTGCTCTGATTTAAGGTAGGGCGGATGTAATTTAACCCTAATTAAAGCTTAATTTTTATGCATGTGAAATTTGTGAAATGTGGACGTTTTCTGTGTAAAATAATATGGCGGCAAAAAATTCCTATATTCAGGTAACCGAGGTAATATTCTGGTAATATATTTGGATGCATGAAAATGGTTCAATATGAAAATTTTTAAACCTATGTACAGGGTCCGGCAATAGTGCGTCGGGCATCTGTAGCTCCTAGAATAAAAAACTTGAGAATTTTGTTTTAGTGCAAACCTAAAGTATGTACCAGGATGTAGGTATTTCAGGAAAATATTTTAACTTCTATAGGGTGGCTCAAAAAAGTGTGAGCGGATCTGGATGATTTTTTTTAAATGGAACACCCTGTATATTATTGCATTTTTGGCTTCCTTTCAGGGCACTTTACATAACCCTAAGATATGAATAAATATATTTCCATAGTTTCAGAGATATTAAAAAATAAATTAAAAATATATATTTTTCAGCTCTTCTTAAAAATATTATTAAAAATACAAGAACTGTTCTGAAATCAAAACGATATTAGGTATTTACTTTAGATGGTCTGTTCTTACTTTGCTATAAATATGGTAATCGTAATTCATACAGGATATTCAATATTCTACGCCAAACTTTCTAAAATATAAAATATTTTTCTTTGTTTTTTTAAATGAAACACCGTGTATATTATGTTTTTATTAGATGGAGAGTTTAAAAATGAACATTTATTGTATTTAGAGTATTTCAAAATTTTTAACGGTTTCGCAGATACACGCAGTATTATTTCATATGGCGCTTTCAATGGTAAAATACGAGAGAAAAATTACTGGGTGGCTTTGATAAAAATTTACTGTGGAAAATGCCATATGAAATATAAAACCGCAAATATCTGCGAAACCGTTAAAAATTTTGTAATACTCTAAATATAAAAAATGTTCATTTTTTAATTCTCCGTCTATTGAAAAAATAATATACATGGTGTTCCATTTAAAAAAACGAAGAAAAATTATTTTATATTTTAGAAAATTTAGCTTAGAATTTTGAACATCCTGTATAATTTACGATTTTCATATTTATAGCAAAGTAAGTACAGACCATCAAAAGTAAATACCTCATATAGTTTTGTTTTCAGAACAGTTTTTGTATTTTTAATAATTTTTTTAAGAAGGGCTGAAAAAATATATATTTTTGATTTATTTTTTAATATTTCTGAAACTATCAAAAAGTATTTATTTATATCTTAGGGTTATGTAAAGTGATCGGAAAGGAAGCCAAAAATGTAACAATATACAGGGTGTTCCATTTAAAAAAAAATCATCCAGGTCCACTCACACTTTTTTGAGCCACTCTATAGAAGTTAAAATATTTTCCTGAAATACATCCTGGTACATACTTCAGGTATGCACTTAAACAAAATTCTCAAGTTGTTTATTCTAGGAGCTACAGATGCCCGACGCACTATTGCCGGACCCTGTATAACGTAATTTTTGCTAAGAAAAATTGCGAAAAAAACATGTGCCTTGTGGGGAGATAAAAATAAGATTAAGCCCGTGGTTACATTGGATGCGTATCCGTGCGTTTTTTTGGTCGTACGTGCTCGGACGTGCACGCAGCAAAAAAACAAACAAATGGTATCTACGCAGGCGGTTACATTGCATCGGAGTTTGCGCGTCCGTGCACGTTCGTCAATTTCCGTTGGTCGGATAAAAACAAACTGGTTTGTTTTTTTAATACGTGCACGTCCGAGCGTTCGAATTTTTATATCTCTGGGCCCAATACATTCCCGAAAAATTTGAATATTTTTGAATACCAGGTTTATTTTTATTTAGGATATAATTAATGTTGCTGGAAACATTCTAAAATATTCAAAAAATTTTACCGGTTGCTGTTTTAATTTACCAAATATTTTAGATATTCATTTTCTTCCCCTTTTCTTGCATTAATCATTTACCCAACATTTTCTTCTGTTCATAAGTAGTTATTTTAACATTAAATCCTCAGACAGCATCAAAGTAGTGGTGTCCGTTTTGACAAACTCGACACACAGGATACCATGAACGCGCATCTAATGTAATCACTAAAATAAAATAGTCGTGCGAGTAAATTCCGTCAGAGCTGGTCAGAGCTAGCATGTTTAAAAAACGCACGGACCCGCGTCCAATGTAACCGCGGGCTTAAGCTTGATTTTCATGCATCCGTTGTCCGACGATACGTTGATACGATATCAATTTTATTGGTTGAATTTAAAGACTTCGAATGGTTAGAAACGATTAACCAATTGAAGCCTTTAAATTCAACCAATAAAATTAATATCGTATCATCGTATCGACGGACAACGGATGCATGAAAATCAAGCTTTAGGCTGTATTCCGTGGCAAAACCAGGCGAACCAGACCGGTAAACTACGATAAAGAACGGTTCCTGGAAAACATCGGTTTGATACGGAATGGTTTGGTAAAATACTGGAAACGTCAAATGTTGACGTTTTCTAAATTTTAATACCTCGATCTATTATAAAATTTATCTTTTATGCATTTTTAATGTACCTATTCTCTGCTTTTACGTTTACTTCTTCTTTTCAATGGATTTTAATATTGAAAAGTACTTTATGCTGTAATTCTTTATATACATCTGTTAAACTCGTTAGACAGCTCAAGTGAAGATTTGCTGGTCCAATATTAAAACAGATCAATATAATAAATAAACAAATCTAATCAACATTTATATTTTTATAGCTGACAAAACATTCACGATTACTTGTCTTGTTTTTCATGTTTTCTTTAAATGTTCCTGACTTTAAACAATGGCTGCATGATAAGTTTAAATGGCCCTAAAAAGTCATTCTATTTAGTTAATGAAATTTATTATACCTTTACTGCCTACCTCCAATGCTTTTGGATGTAAATACAAAATATTATTACATATTTTAGAAATTAAATGAGAATTTCATTCGAACTTCCAATATTTGCTTGATTTCTGTCAGATAAATGACATTGACAAACAAAACCAGAAAAACCAGTCTAGCGATTCTGTAAACGTATTTCCTGTCTAGCGACTCATCAATCGTATACAAATAGCATAGGCTAGACAGGAAATTTCTTACTACGGAGCTTACAGAAATCCACTGCAGCCTTCTCGCGCTGGTTAGTTTGGTGACAGTTGTAAATGAATTTTTCAGGAACGGTGTTCCGTAATAAGAAAACTTTCAGGAAACCGATAGAAACGGAACATAAAACCATAACCAAGGTAAGTAACGGAGTACACCCTTAAGGCTAGTTCATGCACTTGCGAATTGCGAAATGCGTTCTGTTTTCGTTCTATCATTGGTTGCCTTCAAGGGGGACCTTGAAAGCGACCAATTACAAGACAAACAGAACGTATTTCGCAATTCGCAAGTGCATGAACTAGGCTTTATGTCTCGTCACGTCAAACAGAACTGTCAAAGATGGGGACTTAAGATGTCGATGTCAGTAATAATACATGAATAATATTATCAAACATTATCGAGAACATTATACACTCCTTCCATAATATTTTCACTGAAAGGGGAAGGTTTAACAATACAAGGGCTTATACACAAAACATTTTATTGATACAATACAAATAATTTTTACACTTTAGCAGCTTAAAATGAAATACATCGTAAGCGGTATATCAGATATAATCTTAACTAATGACTAGAATACTGATGATTTTAAGTCTTTCCAAGTTTTTATAACTACTTCGCGGTGACGATTAAAAGCATTTTTTGTAGCGAAAATCCCAAAATTTTGCGATCTATAGTATATTATATTTTGTACATAAAGAATTGAAGTAAAAAAAATTGTAATTCTTTATATACAAAATTGAATAAAAAAAGAAAAGATGTGACATAAAAGGTACTTGCTGAAATACTGTTATAAATACGTTGGTCGAAATAGAATAAAACTTATTTTAAGTACAATACAATAATTAATATGTATACATACAAAACATTCAGGTAAAAAACATTAGAAATATATAGAGGCGTATATAAAACGATATCTTTTATCATCTAAAAAGTTTTCAAAATTGAGTATTTATGTTCCAAATAACTATATCTATCCTTATAGCAGCTAAGTAGATATACATATGTGTGTACTTGTTTGCTCACACTAATACAATAGCAAAAACCTATTTTATTTTAAATAAACAATTTTTGCATCACATATAAACGTTCACATAGGCAAAATAAGGGTCACTTTTTGTTATTCACAAATCAATTCTTAATTATCAGTGTCATGTTTGTTGTAAAAATTTAAACTTAGTTTTCATAAATATAAAATAAAATTAATGCATCAAAAAACAAATAATATTTAACATGCTCCTTATTTTTTTTAACTAGACTTTGTATCACTAAAAAATCATCAAAATATGTAAAAAATACTAAGGTAATTTTCAACTAAATTACTGTTAACTATGATGTGCAGTAGCAGTTATAGTAATTATAATTTTTAAAGAAAAAAAACATTTTTTTTAAATCTATAAAACAATCACAATTAAATATGATGTAATAAAAAGTACATATTATTATGAACTTCTTTACAAATAAATTTATCGAGCAGCTTAACGAAATATTTACAAAATTATTACAATAAAACTTAAAATTTACAGGTGAAATTATTTACAGAAGAAGAAAAAAACTATACAACAAATATAAAAAAATATATAATAACCGATAATAATATATTTATTGGAAATTATGTAGTGAACTATTAAAGCCATAGATTCTATGGAATATTTTTGTACCTTTGTGATATTTTTAAATGAATAAGGGAAGAAGGTAATAATACTTTGAGTTCAGAGCGAATATGTTTCATATAATAGCAGGCCAAGTATATTTATTAGAATATCGAAATAATATATATCTGCAACACCTACTGCAAAAAAAAATACATTTTTCTATTTTGATCTACGAAATTCTTTTAAGGGTGGACTGTTATCTTGCTAATTAAAAGCGGACAATCCTGTATATGCAAAATAAAACAAAATCATTCAGATATGTACAGGCTGTCCTAAAGACCTCATATCTCTTCTAGTTTCCGAGATCCCAATGATGGTCTGCTATGTCATGAAAAATTCTGTAGCTGTTTTCTATTCAGATCTTTTAGTTGGCAATTTTTTCACTATCTTATTTGATATATTTTCAATTAATCGAAAATAAGAATTCTGTCATATTAGTTAATATATTAGGCATTTTATTTGTCCCACTTTTAACTGGCTTTGACTTGTTTATTTTTGGAAATAAAACATTCAGGACAATAATATAGAGCTTATATCCAAGATTTATGACTCCAATACAGAAAATAATCATAAAACTGATTTAAAACAATATTTTCCGTGAGTCATGCTCGCGATTTGAACTGATCTAATACAGAAAAAAATCGACTGAAAGTAGAGCCAGCTAAGAACTACAAAAACCAAACTAATTATGATGACAATATTCGCACTCAGATATTTCCCATAAAAGTAGCTCTTAATCTTTGATTCAATTATTACTACTTCCCTCAGCTTTGAGCGTTTTGCATCTTTCTTTTTCTTGATTGTTATCAGGGGGTTCACACTCGAAACTGGCAAGGGCTAGGGCATTCTCGTTCAGTATAGGGCTGTGCTGAAGCAAGGATATCACACTGTGGTCCTTCTCGAACGGACAGGTGACCTGTTTCCAGGCCATGAATTCCGTTACTTGTTTGGCCAGTTGCCAGAATTTCTCGAAATTGATATGGCCATTCGGCAATCTGGAAAAAAAGGACTTTTTAGTCATTTTTTTAAATAATTATTTATTTAGTAATTCGTTTTATGCAAACGTATCAATCTGGAAAGAATCAGGGTTGTTTTGTTTTAAACATTTGTTTAAAACTCTATTTTCTTATATTTTTCTTCTCTGCAACAAGCCTAAGAACTTAGGAAATAAAATATGATAGCTATCATATTGTCAGAACTTATATAAGTACCAGATAACACTTACTTGCTGGAACAGCCTTGGTTTAGGAAGTACAAATCTTTCACTAGCAAGCTGAAGAATGGAATGACTATCCTCTGTCTTTGGTCTGTAGCGCCTGCGCTACGCCACATTGCAGCTTTCAGAGTGCTCCTGTAACTGCTGAAATTGCTGCTGGGGTCCATCTGGTGTTCCAAGATGGCGAATTTGCCGGACTGTATTTTATTCCACTGAAAATAGGAATAATTGCATTAAGTATTATTTATCTTCTAATAAATCACACAAAAATTTTAGTTGGTAGGTTATGTATCAAAATGATATAATATTTTTTATCCACAGTCAAACAATAATGGTTTTATTCAGTTAAGAAAATTAAACTATTATAATAAAATAGAAACTAAATGCATCTCCAGATATTTGGGATTTATTCAGTAATAATTTAATTTGTACTCATTTCCAATCTTTTTTAATGTTTCAAATACGCAAAAAATATTCAAAAATGTATTTGTTATGAAAAGAGTTTTATTATAAAGAACCTTAGTTAACTTACTGTTTTCTTCAGTCTTGATATTGGAGACATATTAAGCCCTGCTATGATTGCCATGAGACTATTGAAGTTTCCTATGTTGAAACATTCTCTTCCAGTTTCAATCCAGTATTCCACCGTCTTCACTCTCTGTTTCTTCTTATGAAACTATAAAAAAGAATACAATATTTAGAACTAGTTCCCAAGTGTTTTAAAAATATTAAACATATAAGATATAAAAAATAAAAAAAATAAAATAACAAATATCAACAAAAAAATATTAAAAAAAAACTAAAGAATGAAATATTAAAAAATATCAAGATATACAGTATGTCCCCGGATTGTCTTTGGTCTTTACATAAGGAAAAACATTTTTTTATTATTGATATTTTGAGAAAAATATCAATAATAAAATATATATAAATATATAAATATATAAATAATAAATGAATATGCATTCTTCATTAAAATTTTTATGGTTAATGGTTAATCCCGTTTGTACTTTTTCTAATTTCCATACCGCTTTAGAGAAAATTAAATACATGAAAATATAATTGAATTCTCCTAAAATTGAAAGAATTGAGAGTCCTGAAAATCAAAACGCGTTTACGATAGTAATATAATTTCGTTTCCATTCCCTAATAGATAGTTATTGATAGAATTTTAATTATTATCATATTTTTTGCTGTCTCAAAATGTTAAAGAAGCACAACATTTATTTAGTTTAATGCTACGGAAAAGGTGATAGTTACGAAAAAATGGGATAGTTTAAGAACAGCAAAAAATATGACGTTAATCAAAATTAATAATAACCATCTATGAAAGAATGAAATCGAAATTATTTATATTACCATAGAGCCTTTTGATTTTAAGAACATAGAAAAAATTCAACCATATTTTCATTTTTTTTTTTAATTTTCTCAAAAACGGTATGGAAATTTGGAAAAGTATAAACGAAATTAACCATTTTAGGACAAGCCAAAATTTTAATGAAGAATGCATCATTTTTCTTAAAATGTCAATAAGTTTTTCCTTTTGTAAAGACATTCCGGGGACATACTGTACAAACATATAAGTTACCTTGCAGACTTGTGTCGCCACAAAATAGCTCAGCCTATTGAACCACTGCACGTATTGTTCCAAATTCCTCGTTTTCTTCATATCCTTGAAAGACGTCTCTAAAGCAGGGTTCTCTTTGGCGAAAGCCTGCACGAATTCCTCTGGACCAATGAAAGATAGTCTTTCCAGTTCTACGTGAGTTAACTGTTGTGCCAGTTTTTCCGGACTGGGACAAGCTTCTGATATATCTGGACAGCTGATGTTCTCATCAGATGATGCAGTGTTTGTCTGGAAGTCATTAATATATTATATATTAAATTTTAATGCAGCCTGAAATTTTTTGTATATAATTTAAGTATTTCAAGTTAGAATCACCAAAAGCATTCAAAAACTTTTATGAGATTATTTTGAAAGTAAATTTCATATAATTTTACCTGATTTTCCAAGGATTTTTCGTATTCATCTAGGGCAGTGAGTCTTGGATGGAGATTATGAAGCAATAAGGAGACGTTGGCACGCAAACCCGGGTTGATGGAACAGCATTGTTGCGTTATTTTCCTCACGTGATCCATCATACGTTCATCTCTGTAAAGAAAGAAATAATTCAATAAGAAAAATGTCTTCAGTTTAATCTCAAATAGAAGTTTGTGTTATCGCAAATCGGTCCTAAACTAACTAGTTTTATTTTATTTTACAAAAAAAGATCTATTTTAAGGATTTATTTTATATAACAACTTCGTTACTTCAAGTGCAACACCCTGTATTTTTTGGCTGGTGTCGCCATGGCAATTTTCTATTAACTTTTATGAGTTATTTATAAACAACATATGTTATTTAAACAAGTAAGCAAATTTTGGTAATAATTGATTTAAAATCTTGGTTTTAATATGCGTACATCATATATCCGCGCAATATTTTATAAGCATGATTTATATACTTTTATTATGTTGTGGAGACAGGTAATTTTGTATTATGGAATGCCAATATTACTCTACGATTAGCTGAGATAATCTATGTAATTTAAGCAGGAATGTAAATGGCAATATAATATCGATGAATATAGATTGACGATTAAACTAAAAGTAAATGTAAATATTAGCGGTGAATGGCAGTTTTTCAGGTAGAGTATTACTTTGATGTATTTTTAGGATAAACATCTAACAGTAAATAAGAGAATAAAAATAACAAAACAATCACATATTCTCATTAACGTTTTATAACAAAAATTGAATATTAAATAGGTTTAAAAATTCTAAAACAAATACATTATCCTAGTATAACAGCATACATTTTTCTCGGTCGTAAGTTCTAATAGAAGCCCTATAACGAAACAAGTTATAGACAGGCTTTATAATATAGAAACTCTCTCCAGTATATACACAGAAGCCAAAGCAAGAGTAATGATATATAAAACAATCCCAAAATTCCCAACTGGCAAAGGAAACGCAGGGAGATGATATATTCCCAGAGCTGTTTAGTGTTTACAGCAAGGGTAGAAGAAATCTTCCGTCAACTAGAATGGAACTATATCTTAACCATCTAAGATTTGCTGATGACATAGTCATAATTTCCAATAGTCCTGAAGAAGGAAAAGCACAAATTAACGAACTAAATACATCCTGCAATAAAGAAGATCTCAAAATCGAATTAGCAAAAACCAAAGTAATGTACAACGAACATATTATATAACAACTTATATTTTGAATTATACTATTATACACGCATTAGATTGCGGAAATTACCGGGGAATTTCACTACTGGCTATCGGAGGAAAAATTCTTACAAAAATAATGTCAAACCGCCTGCTCCCACATATAGAAAAAAATCTCCCAGAATCGCAAACGGGCTTTCGCACCAACCGCGGTACCGTTGATTCTAAATTCTCCGTCCGCCAACTACAGGAGAAAGTAAAGGAGCAGCAGAGTAAACTTTATGTTGCATTCACATCGACCTAACAAAAGCCTTCGACTCTGTAAACAGAGGTGCACTTTGGGTAATTATGCAAAAGTTCGGAGTACCCAACAAATTTCTTACAGTGTGTAAAAGCCTCCATAACAACAAGTCGAGAGTGTCACATCATGGATCACTGAGCGATCCCTTCCTGATAAATACAGGAGTTAGACAGGGATGTATCTTAGCCTATTCTCTCCTATTCAACCTATTCATGGCAGCGCTCTCTATTATAGTGGACAGCAAACTGCAGAAAAGAGGACTGGCATAAAAGTAACTGTAGGTATGATGGCGGTTTGTTCAACATAAAAGGACTCAGGGCAAAAAGACGTTTAAAATTCATCACAGAACTTCAATATGCTGATGCGCCTCTGCCTCGCTCTAGTTGCAAAAATGTTACACCAATTACAGGAAATGCTGAATACATATATCTTCGCATACGAGGCTTTGGGCCTTAAGCTGAACATCGATAAACTAAAATCATGTGCACTCCCCCAGAAAATCATAAGAGTGCTATAAAAAACGGAGAAGAACTACTGGAATATGTAGCGGAATTCAATTACCTTGGCAGTTTGATTTTCCATTGAAAACTTAAAGGGAATAAGCATGCAGAATCAGTGGGAGGAAGCAGCGCACAATAGAACGCAATGAAGAACAATTGTACACTCAGTTAACAACGACAACCAAAAAGTAAAGAGGCAACAAAGTAATAAAACATATAAAAATAAATGTCCGGAGTGTGGAAGAGATAACATCACTTATCGGGCTTTTCAGTCATAGAAAAGCTCATGAAAGAAAACGCCTTGCGTAACCATCTTCTGATGCGTGTCAAATACTCGTCAGCGAGTAATGGCAGTAGTAGTAGGTTTTCATACTAACGACAGACTCAAAAGAGTATTTAAAAAAAATGGATAGAAAAGTTTCTTCATCAACTAATGTGGATTATTGTATGTATATAAAAATAGCTTGTTATTTAATGAGTATTTTTTTAAAAATTTTAATTATCTGAGATAATAATGTTGACTGCAAACAGGGACCTAATTAGACTTGTTTGAAAGAGAGCACCAAATAAATTAAGCAGTACCTGAAATCGTAGGGGAATGTCTCCGTCCATTCGGCCAGCAACTGCACCATCTTCTCGGCGAATCGTTCCTGCGGAACCGCTGCTGTCCCAGTACCGGTACCACAACCCAATCCTTGCTGCTGGTCGCCCAGGGCTCGCACCCTGGCCAAGAGGTCGTGGGGCTTGATAAATAGGCGTGCAGACAGGAGGAAGGCGAAGAGGTAGGCCCGGTCCGGGTAGTACGACTCAGTGGGCACCATGTGCTGGATGAGGGCCTCTAGGGGGCCGCTGAAGAGGTTGCCGTCCCTGTAGACCAGAGCCTGGAAAGGAATATGGCCGAGTAAGTAACAAGTCAAATATTTTAATATGCCTAAAAAGTGATTACCTATTACTAGCTAATAATGTTTGGTCTATTGAAGTAAGAAATATATTCAAAAAAATGTTGAAAAAGCTCCATCTATTTTAGTATCATTTTGATTTTTTTAAGGTGACATTTTTAACAATTTTGAATTATTCGAATTCAATTACCGGATATTTGGATGGACCATGTTGAATAACGGACTTTTTGGAGAATATACGTATATTTGGGACGGACATAGCCTTTGAATAACAGATAGATAAGTAAATTCGTTTCATTCTTGTTGAAAGCGATATTTGATTTTGGTCTATTGTTCTTTTGTGTATATGTTTCATCCCCCACCTTATCCCCTGAAGTGACGTGTTTCGCATTTTCATGTAAATCTTCATTTCCTACTTTCAAAATTTCGTATGAAAGAAATTGTGCAAATTTTTACGCTTCAACAGTAGAGGCGTGTAGTTCGTGAACGAACTAGTTCCAATGAACTATTCTGACCCCGGAATGAAAGGAACTAGTTCCCGGTTTCTCAAAGAAATAGTTCCTCGGGACCTATTGCGGAATCGAGACTGTGACCGATATATAATATATGCGACGGCGCGGCGACAGATCGGCAAGCGCGATCGTAGCCCGATGCTAGGCGGGAGTGGAGAGCATATACATATAACTAAAATATACTCGGGGTTCCCTATTTAACCCATATACTACCTATACTCAGCCTAATCTCTAAAAAATGAAGCCCAACAGTGAAAGAGAAATATGGAATTCTGCATAAGTCTATTTCACCTGGACATTCATTTAACTGCGCATGCCTTACCTAAAGAAGTTTTCATTGGTCGGTGTTTTTAAAGGGAAGTGGTTGATTGACGCTTCACCTAACCTTCAATTTTATTTATATTTTTATTATTTATAACACATCATAGAGTTGGAAAAACATCAAAAAATAGTTGGAAACAATAAACTAGTTGGAAACAATAAACTAAACAAAATCACTCTTTTACGCGCACAAATAAAAAGTAATCCAAACAGAACTAAAACAACAATCAATCGGAGTTTGGCGCAATCGCAGTTTAATCCATATCCGGGTGAAATAGACTTATGTAGCATTAATATGGAGCTGAGTTATGTTGTCTTTTTCTTACGGCACGGGCACGGAAAAACACACGGGGTTAAATAGGGAACACTGAGTATATTTTAAGTTATATGTATATGATTTAACCCCGTGTGCAGTTTCTGTGCCGTAAGAGAAAGACAACATAACCCAGCTCCATATTAATACTGCAGTCTATTTCACCCCGATATCGATTGAACTACGATTGTGCCAAACCCCGATTGATTGTTGTTTCATTTTTGTTTTTGACATACGCAATTACACGTCTCGTTATATTTCGTATATTATAAAAATTATACAGATCATACTGTGAATAGTTCTGACTGACAACGAAACCTATTAGCAAGCAATGGCAATGTCACTGTTAGTCGGGGACTATTGTGAACTAAATACCTAGTTCAAGGAACTATTCCTCTGGAGGAACTAGAACTAAGGAAATAGTTCCTCCCAAGGAACTAGAATTCCCACCTCTATTCAACAGCTACATATTATTTATAAAACAATATGCCTAGTTAGAAAAAGCATTTACATTTCTACAAGCGCAGCAAAATTATATTTATCTAATGCATATAGTTTGTATAATATCATTAAACTGTCTAAATTCCGAGAAGTAAAGGAGATAGTACTTAGCCTTGCATACATTTAAAAAAAATGTCAAAAAGATAAATTTGAACTCGTGTCCTTCAAAGATTACGCTAGAATAGTCATCTGCTTTTAATAATGAATCATTTCAATGCAATTCAAAATGATAAAAGGAACTGAATGAGTTTATTTTGTTTGAATGACGCTATATGAGGTGTAGTATTTATAACCACTGATAAAATAATAGTCGATAAAAAATTCTATAAATACATGTTTATAAAAAATACATACATATAGTATATTTAACAAAACTTTGATTGCACGTCATCAGTTACACCATGCGTCGTCTTATGGAGTTTGTTGGTGGTCGTATTATGATGTGCAACCAAAGTTTTGTTAAATATACTATATCGTAAAGTTTAACACAATAGATTTTGATGTGTAGACTTTTTCCTCGATTTTTCCTTAACAGATAGTTCCCCCTAGTCCAAAAATTTTACTGTTTTTCTAAAAAAAAACGCTTATAGTCTGTTGACTATGGCTCACAGATGATTAGAATTATTGAAATGCTTTTATAAGTCTCTCTGTTGCTAGAATCTTTCATTTATCTGTAGTCATGGATTCGATGACTTTGATTCGGTCTGATTTGGAAATAGGAATAATTATACTATCGAACAAAGTTACCATGATTATCCTGAGAAAATCATCTCAATATCAGTAAATCATAAAAAATCACCAAACTGACATGTTTATCATTTATGAGTCGACGTTTCTTAATAATTTGGATTTTCAATAGCTTTATCATAGTAGAAGTAAAGTGTTTTATTATTAGAAAGCATTTATTATTTTATACATCAATAACTGTAAAATGCCCGAAGGTATTAAAGACAACAATTTAAAATATTTTTATTTATTATTTGGTAAATAAAATTAACATCCATAATAAAGCGCCGCGCAGGCCGTAAGGCAAATTAAATGAAAACGTTTAATGAATTGAGAAGATAACATGTGAAAGGTTGTTATAAAATTATAGTCGACATGTTTATTTTTCCTAGAGGTATTTACGTGCACTTCAAGGTTCCCTGACTTCACGTAATTTTGATTTATTTTTAGTTTAAAACTACAATGTAAGCTAAGGATACTACGATTCAATGCCACAACTAATTCTATAGTATAATCGATAGATATTTTTGAAGAAAACATAGAACTAATTTTCTGTATAACACTCAAGAAACAAAATACCATATAACTCCTAAGTGTACTCTATAATCGTAAAAAAACGGTGTCCTAGTGATCTTTGAAACGTTACCAAATAGGCCTATCATTCATAGACAAAAACCGCTATCAAAATTTTTCAAAAATTATTTTTGAAAATTTGGATTTTTTTGAAAAACATTTTGGAATTTTCTTTATCTAGTCTTTAGTTAAAAAACATAATTTCTTGAGAATATGGCAACATAGGGAGTAGATTAAATTTACAAGAAGGAAACCCCGGAAAATATCCGGTGGTTCTCAAAATCTAAGCAAAAAATCGTTTTTTTTTTGGAAATTTTCAAAGTAAAATAACTCGGTTATTTTGAAATTATTTGAAAAACGGTAAAGAGAAAATATGTTTCTTTTATCGAGATCTACCAGCCCTGAAAATATTTGCACTCATTTAAAAATCACCGTGTATAAATTTTAACTATCTATAGCGAAAGTTGCCTTATATTCCTGCGTTATAAAAATTAAATACCGCGTAGGCGACAAAGAAAGTTAATTTATATTGTCTTGTGCACGAATAAACAATTGTTTAATATATTCAGTGATCGATCTAGGCTTAAACAATAGAAAGTCCCAAAGAAATAGATAGAAATAAAGCCATAACAAAAAAACATTATCTCCTCTTGGATTTTTTACGATTACTTTTTGTGTTTATAGAAAGTTGTGGTAAAAGTTTTTTTATTTCTTAAAATACTATACTGGTGACTCTTTAGTATTATGAAAAATGTTGACCTGAACAAAGAAACATGTAAGTTTTAAAAATGATGAATAAAACTTCTCAATTTTATTTTAGAGGAAAACCCATTTGAAACCTTTTAAAGAACTTCTTTGCTTATTTTGAATAATTTATACAAATATACTAAATACAAAAATACTAAATTAACCGAAAACTTAAAATAATCCGGTCCTGTTCAAACAAACATAACAATCACAAATTATACTATTATATATAATTACTTAAATATGACATACCTGTTATGATTTTCTTGTACAGATCTGTCAAAAATATCCCAAATTATATACGAAAAAAAACTTCTTCACCCACGCCCACTAATGATTAGTGTTTGGAATATTTAAATGGCTTAAAATTATGCTTCTTTAAAAATACGTCATTCAGTGGTACGATGTTTTTCAACTATTTCCCCATGTATTCTGGTACTTACTTTTTTCCACTTGCATTTTATTAATTTTCATTTATTAGTTCTTGATAATCCCTATCAATATTTATCTTTACAGTATAACCGTTCCTATTGCTTCAAATCCAATAATTGCATTCTTAATTTGTTGTTTTTTTCGAAAATTGCATTTTTAATTTGTTAATTTGTTGGCACGGAATAAACCTACTGTATAAAGGAACAAAAACTGTAGAAAAAGGTGCAGAAAATAAATCCTCTACAGCCCTGTAGACTATTTCCTCTATAATACAACTTAACAACTATCACATATTTTTTCTTCAACTGTATAATTCATTAATAAAATGCATTAAAAAAAGCTAATTTGAAGGTTATTCCAATCAAGACCGGATTTTTTTTTCGATTAAATTGATATTTTTTCATTCATTACTTGGAAACGAATTCGTAGAAGCTACTGAAAATGAAGAATTTGTTTCATTTTAATAATTTCTTTAAAAAGTTTCAAATACATTTTTCTGTAAAATAAAATGGGGAACGTTGTTTGTCGTTTTTAATTTGTTTTTAAATTAATAAAAATCTTTTTTAAAAACTGACGGAGATTCTTTATTTAAAACTGAATGAAAAATTTCTTAACCCGGCTTCAAACATGCATTATTTGTGTACGAATAATCGGCATGACAGAAAAATCATGTTCGTTAACAGAATATTGAGCTTGCACCACACATTGGCTCTTAAAGGTATATTTTTAGCCAACCATACTAACAGGTATGGTAAGCTAATTAAGATCGGCAAAAAAAAGTTTTTTTATTTCACTCAAAATATGAGTTAGTTGGGTCATAAATGACCTAAATACAAAATATTTTCATGGTGTCTGTCTGTCCGTCTGTCTGTATCGTGTCTGAGTAACACGATAACTCAAAAACCGCTAAAGCGATTTTAACCAAATTTGGCACAAAAATACTGTGGCATCGGCCGAGAATCTGGCCATTAGTTTTTGGTGGGGGTGGGCGATTGGTAAGGGGGTATGGGAGGGGGTTAAAAATTTTAAAAAAATCGTAACTCCAAAATTACAGTAGCTAGCGAAACGCGGTTTTCAATTTAAGATTAGGAATAATATTTGCAACAAAATTTGTAATAACATCAAAATCAGTCAAAGTCGCACTTTTTGAGATAATTGAAACTAAAAGAACTGCCTACCAAATTTTATTAACATAATATCACAAATTAACTACAACAGATGCGAAAGAACACCGAATTACGCGTTCAGGTTTCTGTGGCCTTCAGAAAGAGTTCATAGACAATCCGCATCAATGTATAGTTTGGGTTATTATTTGTTTGGGTGAAAATAATCTGCACCAATATGTTATGGAGGCATACAAAAAGGTCCACAGACTTCGAGACATACGAAAAATCAAGTCCATTTAGCGTGTGTCGCAATTTTCACACCTTAAAAAATTAGTTTTTTATAGCTATAGCAACTGCAGCGACTATGAAAAAAGCTGTGTGAATTTCATAGAAAATAAGGGCACCTGTAATTCATTTGAGAATGTTATAAATCGCTAAAAGAGGTTTCAAATCTCTTGGATTTCTATTAATATTAAATAAATGTTATTAAAAATTGAACTAAAATTGTTAGTATCATTAAAAACAATTCAAATTCAAAAATTGTATCAGTCAAATTTCCTCATTTAAGGTGAATATTAAAGTAAATATAAAAACAGCTCATTCTAAGCTCTACTTATCTTTAAGAAAAATTTAAATCATTGTTGCAATTGGGCCTTAATGCCATTTCGAATGAACAATAGTATTAATAATGTACATTATAATAATAATAAATTTTATATCATAGTGTGTATTAAAACTACCAAAACACTTTTAAATTGGTATTATATTAACAACTTTTGTTTTTTAATCCAAAAAAAAGGAAAAATTTAAATCATTGTTGCAATTGGGCCTTAATGCCATTTCGAATGGCCAATAGTATTAATAATGTACATTATAATAATAATAAATTACAATAATAATATAATTTTCTCAATCAAAATATTTGTGGTCCTGAAAAGGACCTTCGTTTTCCCATGTTCATCAAGGTAGGTAATGGGTAAACGGTAAAAAAACAGGATAATGAAATTTAAAAAATTACAAAAATTGTTCAAAAGTGCCTCCCTCTTGCATTAAACAATAACCCAAACGATCATAAAATCCCCTCCTCACATTGGATAACATATCAGGGGTGACAGTGTTAAAGGCATTAAATATTTTCTGCCTTAACTGCTCCAAGTTTTGAATTTCTTCATGGCCGTAAATTTTAGATTTTATGTACCCCCATAAAAAGAAATCATTCACCGAGAAGTCAGGTGAAATTAAACGTCAGTCTAAACAAAACTGTAATTTTTGAAAACTTGTCAAAATTTGGACACACGCTAAATGGACTTGATTTTCCTATGTCTCGAAGTCTGTGGACTTTTCTGTATAATCTCGCAGTAATTTAATAGATTGTTCGTCATATTATATCAGCTCGTAGGTGATTAGGAAAAAAAAGATATTTATAGTATAAAAAATTAATTTATTTAACAAAATTTAATTAAAGATGTGACAAAATAGTTACATTTCTATTGGTTCTATCGGACTTTTTTCAACTATATAAATCTTTATTTTTTGTAAACTTTAATGAATAAAATATTTTCAATCTAATAAATAATTTAATGATGTAAATAAGAGGAAATTTCTCACATGGGTGGTCAAATTCTATAGTTTTCATTATATCAAACAGCCTCTGAACGTTTTCTTCAGTGCAAAACTCATCAAAATTTAATTTAAATAATTTTTCCAGCCTGTAAATAAAATGAACAAATTTTTCCACTTTCATGATCAAAGGCTTTTAAATGGGTAAATAATTTCGAGTTATCCAGAGATTCGGATTTTTTTGCAAATTTTAGACAAATATCACATTGATGTATTTGAACACCCTTTTTAATGATGTAGTCAAACATAATTAAAGGCATTTTGAGTTGAAAACATTTCTCAGAGGCTGTTTGATATAATGAAAACTATAAAATTTGACCACCCATGTGAGAAATTTCCTCTTATTTACATCATTAAATGATTAATTAGATTGAAAATATTTGATGTATTAAAGTTTACAAATAAAGATTTATATAGTCGAAAAAAGTCCGATAGAACCAATAGAAAGGTAACTATTTTGTAACATTTTTAATTAAATTTTGTTAAATAAATTAATTTTTTATACTATAAATATCTTTTTTTTCCTTATAAATAAACACATTTGCATCCCATTTTAAATAAGATATACAAATTACCAAAACTTAGAAATAACAGTTCAAAAGTTCAACAAAAATCCTGCACACGTTTTTAAAAAGAAACATATAACCACGCACTATGTCATTCCAGCAAGCGAATACGACACAGCATAGGTTTCCGGACTAAACGACTGGTGTATTTACACCACTCAATAGGCGTGTCGGGTTTGCCGAGCGGTTTCCGATGCAGTCGCTTTCTTTCGCATCTGTTATAGGTAATTTGTGATAATATTTTAGTATCGGCGGCATACGTGCCTCCCGGCGCCAATTTTTTGGCAAGTATTTAGGAAATCATAAGCTAATCTATTTAAAAAAAATATTTAAAAGATCTTTCTTTTTCTTATCAGAGTCAGAAAAAACAAAAAACGAAATCGGAAAAATTCGTTTTATTCATCAAATATCTTCTAAAGTAATATTTTTTTAAATTTCGAACCATGGCATTCTAGGATTTAGAAAAGTGCAAGTTTTGTATCTCTTCTGAGTTACATCCCTGTAATATGTATACTTATGGGACACCGTGTATTGTTTTTAATCAGAAATATTATTAAAAAAAGATTAAAAATAACGACGTTAATGCAAATTAAAGTTTAATATTTAACTTAGACATATCACCATTTTGTAAATTCACATAAATTGTTTTATAGACATTGGAGTGTAAAAATAAAAGATTATTTATTTTCCTGAACCTATTTGCCTTAATAAGCTCCGTAACTTTGTGTGTTTTAAGTAAATATAGAAAATTGTTTGTTATCTGTCTGATGACTGTGATTTTCTTGTACTTACATTATCCTGCTGTAAACTGGGATCGCCTGAGTTATCTTGGTTCGAGTCGTTTGCGAAAATCGTCGAAAAACTTTTAATGGTTGGTGTTTGTGGCAGACTCTGGAAAGAAAGGAAATATGAATATGAAAGAAGATAATTTTTTTAAATGTTAATGATTTGATCATTTGTTATCTATTGTTATAGCTAGGAAAACCCAACTTCATAAAAAATATCATAAATATATAAAATCTAAGAATTAACTATCCATAAAAGAATTATTTAGACATTTACGAGGGTTGTCTTTTATATTTTGCATATAAAAACATAGTAGGTGCCTGTCAACATATGTATCAAATGTTAGAATTAATTGTAATCTTTAGTGATCTTAACGTTAAACTTTTAGACCGATTTGTTTAAAGCTGTACCTAAACTGAATTTTTCAAACTAACAAGTCGGTCGAAAAATGGAATTAAGCCGAGAAAATTTTTGCGCAATTATTTTTTACAATTTTCGAAGACAGTTGTTTCAATAAGAATGCCTTGCCTTTGAATAGTCTTAGCAATGATCGAAGAACAGGTCCACCAAGAACGGCAGTCATCCAGGAAAACCTCGATGCTCGATGCTGTAGGTAAGCTGATCCAAAAAGATCGAAATGTCGCATATCATGAAATTGAAGCATCATGGGCATTTGAAAGAACTCAATTCAAAACATTTTACATAATTTATCCGTTAAAAAATAGTTTCTCGTTGGATACCGCATCTGTTGATGGAAGAACAGGAAGCAATTAGTGTCAATTGGTGTCACTCTATACCGGTTGAACCAAAACTGACAAAAGTTATCCGTTCTCGAAGCAGGGTGTAAAGAAATCTTTTTTGAAGATTTTTTAAAAAAAATCTAAAAAATTGCCATCGATTTTTTTTATGTAAATCAGATTTTTTATATTAATCTTATTTTTTTTTTATTTTAATCAATTTTCTATTTAAATCGGATTTCCAACTAATTAAAGACTCATTTTCAGTTAAAGTCCTATCCTCAATGGCAAAATCTTCGTAACTCTGCCGCCCGATATCGATAATATTAACATTTCTACGCATGTTGTTTTTTCACATCGGTCACCGATATTCTCTGTAAACTTTGCTGATGCCTCTATTTCCGCTAAAAAAGTCGCCCGCTTAAATCAAGATATCTTGTTTGAAAATAGTCATGACTCTGTCTTAAATTGAGAATAAAATTAGTATCATCTAATTTCAATGTGCAAAGTACTTATTGCAGAACAAAATGTGGGTAGAAATTATGCGGTAGAAATTTGGAAAGAACTAAAAGATAAATTGGAGATTGGAGAAGGCATAAAAGTTAGCTTGAACAACATACAGTTGTTTCAAAGAAGATATTATAAAACAGCCATGACACCAGTATATTTTTTGACATTGATTATAGATACTCTGGAATAAAAATATAACCTAACATCAGAAGAAACTAGTTCTGCACTAGACTTTGCTGTTTAGAAGTGTAATGAATTCACACGAAATTATTTCAAAATTCGGCCCAACATTTTAATAGATGAATACATATTAAGTCGATATCTGTATATGTAATATACAGGGTAAGTTTCCTACGATATTCTCTATGGGTATCTCGAAAACTACTGGAGATAGAAAGTCGGTTAAATGGGGAAAGAATTGCCGTTTTGTGGGGTCATAAATATACGCGTTTCAGATTTTTGAAAAAGTTCATGGCTTACTAGATATTTCGAAAAAAACAAATTTTGGCTATTTTAAAAATTGTCCCTAATTCCATTATAAGCTATTTTAGACAAAAAGTTTTCAGATAAAAGTTGTAGATAATCACATCCTTAATGAGACCGTTTCCTCCGTTTTTTTCTAAAGCCTGTCATTTTTGACATATGACACAAACATAGTTTTTTTTCTAAATGGAAACCATAGTTGGCCATGACTTCATAAAAAGCGCCATTTTTTAAGCTTTTTACTGATATAAGCTATAATATCTTTTCTTCGAAAAATTACTGAGTTATAGCCAATTCTTATCTTTTTTAAACAATTTCACTTAGTTAGCCATGGAAACAAGTTCAATCGCCGTTGCTCTCAGAAATGTGAAGATGTCATATCCAAAATTTGTAAATTCAAATAAACAAAAATTGTAAATATGAATTTTTCAAATGAAGAAAAGCGTGTAGATACTCGCGCATCAATAGAGTGGTTCCAACATGACTTTCATTATGACACACCACCCCCCACCCCTCATAATGAAAGAAATGTTAAAAATTATTTATATCATAAGTAGGTATACAAAAGCAGGGATAGGAAGAGGTGGACTATTTGGGGCCTCTCCCCAAATAGTCCACTATTTGAGACCATGGGCCTCCTCGATCACCTGACCTATCCATTTTAGAATTTTTTACGCGGTATAGTTAACAATAAGGTTTACAAAAGAACTTATGAATTAAGAGAGGCTTACCGCCACTCGAAGTGGCGGTACGAGAAAAGCTTAATTAAGTCGACCGGTCCTTCTGTGAAAAAGATGCAACTCAGAACAATGGCGGATTTTTTGAACATTTTCTAAAATAACTTAAAGTGTATGTAGTGATATTATTTTTTATAAGTTTTAGTTTATGTAATGTAAATTGTAAAGAACCGTTTAGTAATATATTCTGACTTTTTATAAGTTGTATCATAACCGAATAAGAATACCATGCAATCTAAGTGAAATTAGTCAAGAAAGATAAGAATTGGCTATAACTAAATTTAACTTTTCTAACATGTCTTGAAAACCTTCTCTAAAAAACGTAACATTCACCGGTCAACGTATCCTCGAAAATGTATGACCAAGAAAAGTTGAACCAATAATCCTACACGCTTTTCTTCATTTGAAAAATTCATATTTACAATTTTTGTTTATTTTAATTTACAAAGTTTGGATGTGACAGCTTCACATTTATGAGAGCAAAGACGATTAAACCTGTTTCCATGGCTAACTAAGTGAAATTGTTTAAAAATGATAAGAATTGGCTATAACTCAGTAATTTTTCGAAGAAAACATATTATAGCTTATATCGTTGAAGAGCTTAAAAAATGGCGCTTTTTATGAAGTAATGGCCAACTATGGTTTCCATTTACAAAAACATATGTTTATGTCATATGTCAAGAATGACAGGCTTTAGAAAAAAAACGGATGACACAGTCTCATTAAGGAGGTGATTATCTATAACTTTTATCTGAAAACTTTTTGTCTAAAATATCTTATAATGGAATTAGAGACAATTTTTAAAATAGCCGAAATTTGTTTTTTTCGAAATATCTATTAAGCCATGAACTTTTTCAAAAATCTGAAAGGCGCATATTTATGACCTCACAAAACTGCAATTCTTTCCCCATTTAACCGACTCTCTATCTCCAGTAGTTTCCGAGATACCCATAGAGAACATCGTAGGAATCTCACCCTGTATTTGTTAGAGAAATAGTTTTTTATAGCTTTATAGAAAAACTTTTTATAACTTTTACAGTTATTTTTCGATTTATTATAAGTTTTTAAACAACTTGATTTTTTTATTTAAATCAATGATCAAAATAAAAAAATCCGTTGATTTAAATCACGATTTAAATCTTAACACCCTGTCTCGAAGGGTTTCTAAACAGATGGTGGCGACATTTGTCTCAAAAGCGGGTCATCTAGTAACAATTCCTCTGCAAATCACACAAAGGTTACTGCTGATTGGGACAAATCTTTTTGTTTGCCGGAAATAATTGCTGAGGTCTCTCACACAGTTCTAAAAACAATTGAGCTTTTAAAGCAAGAAAATATCGAATTGTTAGTTTGTTTTTGTCCATATAGTCCCAACCTAAGTCCTAACTACTTTTTTACTTTTCCAAAAATTAAGAATGAACTGCGTGGTCAAAGGTGAAAGAGAATGAACTGCGTGGTCAAGAAAAAAGTTCCAGTCCCCAGAAGATGCAGTCAGCATATTCAAAAACGCAATTTTAAAGATACCAACAAGCGAGTGGAATAACTGCTTTCAAAGTTGGTTCCAACCGATGCAAATATGCATTTACGTTCGTGCAGAATATTTCCAAAAACAGTAGTGTTTAAAAGTTATCTATTGTTTTTTTTTCTACCTCTATATGCAAAATATAAAAGACAACCCTCGTAGTACCCTGATATTTGTATTCGACTTTAACTATACCTGGAAACCAATATCGATAGTATCTAGACAAATTTCATTTTCAGAGCTTTTATTTTCAGCAAAACATTTGCATATAGGGAATTTTTTTGCATATTTGGGTGTCGCTAGTTATATCTAAAATATTTATTAGTTTCAAACATCTGTTTCAAAAGTGATATTCCAAAGATATACACATACAAAAAAACGCTAACTAAAATAATTCTGGAACGAATCAAACTATGTGTTATTTTCATCTCTGAAATTTTCATCAAGTCTAGTGGATTAAAAATTTAACATTCTTTCATTGCCTCGCTATATTGTGCTGCACTCTCGCTACATTGTGATGCAAGATCTCTGTCAGCGTTTGAGAAGATGCTTTAGCCATGAAAATGCTTTTACCCAACATAAATTTTATTCTTGTAATACGTTATTAAGAAATTCTTATATATTTTTTGGACGTTTCCCTAAAACAATTTTCTGAGAAAAATATGCTTTTAAAACCATTTCTCATTTCTTAAAACCTCAAAATAACAGTTTCTATACAATAGCGTTCAGGGTGTCGCATCCTCATTTATTTTACCGGGTTTTTCGTTCATGAGTAGGGACTTTTTAAATGAGTGAAAACTGAGTCCCGTAGAGTTGTAGAATCCAGTGGGGTTACTAGTCTTTAGCTAGAATCTGTTATTATCTAAATATGTTTTTCGCTATTTTTAAATTGTACATCCTGTATATGTTTTTTTGTTGCCTTGTTATCAGCTCACTAAAAATATAATATGGGTACTCAATTGCTGTCCTCCATTCGCGAATTCCAATTTCCAGAGCTTTACGCTCTGGGCTACACGAGAACGGTCCTGAAAGGAGCTGTGCGTGATAGCCTGGTGCCTCCATATGGCGGGGAACAGTTCTGAACACTATGACTCAATTGAATGGAGTGATGGTACC